GTCGTGACAAAATGGCGTCCCAGCTGTTAAATTCGGATCTATTTGGTTTCGCAATACGCTTAATCTGTAATTTCGGATCTATAAATGAAATTGCGGATCTATAAATGAAATTGCGGATCGTAAAGGTAACATCTATTGCCCGCCATGAAGATCAACTGTTGTCAGACCTCATATCGCATATGACACCGCTGAGGTTGGGAGATATGTGCAGTGTCATTGAACGTTCCGTGTGTATATTTCGCCCGTATATAATCTGATCCGAAGCCATAAATTGAAATGCCGCGTCAGTCGGATCTGACCTGGTTAATCTCTTTTTGTTCGTTTGTGGGCTGGGATTAGCACAGCATTGTTTTAAATACCTCACTGTATGTAATGTATGGTACATACCGTTTCATGCGGCGGTTTACGTTTCTGCATGGTTTATTGCTTTGACAAAAAAAATTAACTTCCAGCAGACATCATACACCCGTATATGTTCTTTGCTTCTGGATACATAGGAAATCAACAGGTTGGTCTGTAGTTTGCAATTATTTTCCAAAAAGATAATACGGTTGCATGATATCTTCACGATGTTTGGCTTGAACATTCTTCTAAACAAATTTCAAATCTAAGCCGGAAGCAATCACAACACAAACCCAGTTAACCAAACGCAACCATACACAAGAGTGAGTGAGGTAGTTGGGTTTAACGCCGTCTTGAATAGTACTCCGTGTCAGCTTGATGTGGGAGGAAAGTCTGAAGTGATGCAGGTCTTAGACGTTTACGACTTTGGTGAAACCAACGAGCAAGGGTTTTGTGCTGACAGCAAAATCGGGGCGAAACGAGATTCAAACACACTGTCATAGGTTTCTGGCGTGCTCAAGGGACACAACTCTGCATAGCGAATTGCAGCGCCTTCGGCGACTGCGCCAACTTTGCCCCCGTAAAAAACTGTAAGAAACTATTATACAACAAAGATGTTTTAGATGTGATATGTATTGCGGAACATTCCATGAAGAAACAGTGGCAATATTACACAATCACAAACTACAAAATACATGCACAATAAACGACAATTAAAAAACACAGGAACATTCAACACTCAAAGGAGGTACATTATAACAATTTTATTTAAAAAACAAGTGTATTATAATGATATGGAAACAATATGAGAATTGAGCAAAACTATGGTAATGTTGTACATACATGTACAAGGAATTTGTTTGTAATTGTTGATATGCTAACAGATCTTGGAAGTTGTTTCTGGATAACTGTTGGTAAACTTATTAAGAATCTGCTCCTTTTAACAGAGTGTACCAAATTCTTTATCATGATTGGGGATTATTTGTGATTCTCTTTCTTGGTTGTATTATGTAAGTCAGTGCGTAATGTTGTTCATCTTCTGAGACATCACATGTTTCACAGAGACGTTGTTCAAATGGGGTTGGGGTTTTTGTATATCTACAATTTTTTCAATTTTTAGTTTGTGATTACTTAAACGAAGTTTTGAGAAAAGTGACCTATGGCCTTTGTTTTTACAATATGTAAGATAATTTTCAATATTTATAGATAACGTGACCAAACTGTATGTTCCTAACTTGCTGCTAGATAAATGGGAATCCATTAATGTTTGCGTGAATTTTTACATTTGAACTGAAGTATATTTAGAGTGGATTCATTACATTTTTTGTGTTTACTATTTTAAAAGTTTGCTTTATTTAACCCAACCAACATTTTGACCAGAAATATTGATATTTTCTGCAAAAGCATGCTTTAGAATGACATTTGTTATGTTATCTATATAGGATTTTTTTTATTGGTACTAATAGTGGGTATATATCAAGTTTTGCCTGACAGGCCCAGTTTTCTTGCCTGGGTTTTCTTTGTGCTGGCCAATTAAAGACACTGTTTCTTTTATTGTGCTTTCCAAAGATAACTACATTAATAACAACCAATTTGTACTTTACACCAATTCTCTCCTCCCATAGCTTACACTTCCTTCCTCTGCACATAACATTATATTGCGGGGAGCTATTGATGCTCTGCAGCAATCTCTACTTGTATGAAGTAGAGCAACGTTGGTCGCGGATGGCTGGACTAACGAGTCTATGCATAGTCCAATCAATATCTCGCAACGACCTAGACATCCGGTTCGTGGACAACATTGATTTTAACGTGCGGATTTCGATCGACTGCAGGGTTTGCAAAGGATTATACCTTCATCTGAGTGTCGACCAAATATTCCAAAGCTTTTAATCAAGATACTCAAAATACCCGTTTTATTAGAATACAGATCTTGATTATCGATCAGCTCGTCTTGACTGGGTGCTGTCATTTTGTTTGAAGCAAATAAAAGTGATATATGAAAGGTGGAATCTGATTGGACACTGAAGGGACTGGTGGCGCTACGATCGAGCCCAGTTCAGCAAGTGTGAAAACCTTGACATGTAAGATGTCCGAAACCATTTAATTTGAGGATATACACGCAGAAACAGTGGGGGGCAAAAATGACATTTGGACCGCCGTGGTTGGCATAATTAAAGTTGAATCAGAATTATACCATAATTTTAGAGACACCATTGCTGTGATTAGTCACGCAAAAATTCAATTCATTGGCCTTGTAGTTTCATCAGAGATGTCAAAAATGAATTAACACGAGAAATACCGCAAACTGAGACACTATAAAGTGGTATATAGGTAGATATAACACTAGTCTATAGATGTAAACACATTTAATCATACATCTGTAAGGTTTAAATTGATTTTGACAGCCCGGGCCAAGTCGGACGCAACATTTCTGATAGAGACTGTGTTGAGAATGTAGAGGGAAAAGGGCTACACTTTGAGCATCTTGTTTTCGTTAAATACCGCAAACTGAGACACTATAAAGTGGTATATAGGTAGATTTAACACTAGTCTATAGATGTAAACACATTTGATCATACATCTGTTAGTTTAAAGTTGATTTTGACAACCCGGGCCAAGTCGGACCTCATCAAAGAAAACACACAGTCAAGACGCTGACTTTTCATTGTTGGAGATGCATATTGATTCAAAATCAATTAAATGAGCAAAACAATACGTTTGTGGACATTTGAGATCCGCCTAGATCTGCATGTTTCGTTTTATTATTCTACAATCCATTTTTGGTATTACCCGCTGGCACGGCCCGCCCCGACTTTACTTGGCCCGACTTTTAGGCAATCCCCTGAACTGGTGCAGGTCTTAGACGTTTACCGCCTTGGTGACATCCACTACGTTTACCGCCTTGGTGACATCCACTAACACGGGTATTTACATCTTCCCGAGGCAAGAGCGCCCACTAGCCTCTTTATCAAAGAAGTGTTCCCACCCTTGCCACATCAAGCCCTCGTTCCTGTGCTAGACTATAGCACATGTCGATAGTCCAACCAGAGTCCGTTTCACAAAGTCAACATCCACGACTGGTACGCCTTCTTATAAAAGTGATTTACCGCTGCCTGTGTTTGGCAACGAACACGCAGACATAGCAGCCAAATCAGTACTAAAATTAGAAGAAGTAAGCATCAACCTACCAATATTAAAAAACCGAAATTAATAGTATCACAAAGGAGAAAATCTTCCAAAAGTGGCAAAATAACTATCAGAAATCTGACTGCAAACTAAACACCTGTCTGCTACAAAAACCGCTAAACAAATCCATCATAAAACCCCAAAAATTGACAGAGTAATACCTAAACTACAAACAGGCCACACTAAGTTAAAATCCCACCTACACCAAATTAAAAAAACACCAAACTGGTAAATTCCCCAACTGCAACTTAAAAGAAACTCCTGAACACGTAATACTATATTGCACACAGTACCAGCAACACAGAACAACACTCCAATCCAAACTAAACTGCAACAATCAAATAACACTAGCAACGGTACCCAAAATGACTTACAAACCTTTTAAGCACCAGGCATATATGTAATCAAAACAGGCCTACTCGACCACATCTAACAAAGTACAACAAACAAGCTGCGAATAAACCCTAAAATTCTAAACCTATAAAATCACACAAACTCCATTTAATCCACCTTTTGCATGGCACATTTCAAAATTCCAAATTTGTTCTCCAAATTAAGTAAGCAGCCCCAAGAGCAAACACCACCCCCTTGGGGATCGCGTTGTGTCGCCGCTGTCAGTGTTGGACTTGCCATTTAAAATCTCTCATTGTAGATACGCCAACGAAGGGATTGTCGTTAGGTATTTCATTTTCATTTGGTGAGTGAACTAATGTTGTTGTTTTTATATCCGTGTTCATCAGTATACGACTTATATCACCACGGCGACCTGTTCATTAGCGAGCACCATCCAATCCTCATTCTTCACTCTTTGGGCACGGCGAACATGGGTCTCTAGGACCCTTTCCTGACTCGTGCTCCCCACGCGGCGTCTCCAGATTCTGATTCAGATTATTCAGAATTCCTGGCCGTCCGACCCATAGTACATTACATATACATGTATAAGGATCTATACCGAAACGTCGCCTTTACAGTATTAAAGAAGTTGTTATCCATAAATTGTGTCCACTTTGTCATCCGTCAACTTCTTAGTAACGACTATCAATCAATTCTTTCAGACAACGTTCGTGGCTACAGCTATCACATTCTTGTTTTAAACGCTCCGCAGTTCCAAACGCATTGATAGGGAGGACAACATATTCAAGTTTAGATTCTCACATACGTTTTCATTCCATGAACACATTTACTATCTCTTAACCGTGATTCATATCATTAAAGGTGCGGTCGGGTAGCCGAGTGGTTAAAGCGTTCGCTCGTCACGCTGAAAACCCGGGTTCGATTCACGACATGGGATCAATGAGTGAAGCCCATTTCTGTCTGATATTGCTGGCATATTGCTAAAAGCGGCGTAAACCTTACTCATTCATATCATTAAAGCGTGAGGCTTTTTCTGGTCACTGGCTCAAGTGAACTAAATATATTTTAGGGACGCTTCAATGGTGCGGAAGAAATTATCTCCCTTGACCGGAAATGGGTTTGGACAAAAATGGCTGTCAAATGTTGAGGAAGTGATCGATTATTTGACACAAGGAAGGATATTACCAGTAAACGACGCTCCAAAATGTCGCGAGCAATGATTCCAAGCCAGCAGAAGTTAGCTGAAAAGCTAACTATCCTCAACGATCGAGGGATAGGCATGCTCACACGAATATACAACATAAAAAAGGTAAGAATTATCAAAATAATAATTGGGCCATAATAATGTACCGAGTAATCTGCAAGTTCTCTAAAACTAGCAGGCTTGTTGACAGCTGGGGACATGCACCAGCAATTCTTTGACATGTGATTCATTTCCGGGATCAATGTAAAAATTAATAGTAAGTTCAACTTTGTTCATGTTGTTAGCATTTGTTATTATTTAAAACTGAAGAGAATGGCTGAACATGCTGAATGTAGTTTATTAATTGTAATCGGAATCGCTGGACAAATTGTACAGTTTTGCTCACATACGTACATGCATTTGTACAGAATGTATTGCATGATAACACTCATATATTCTTTACCAGGATCAGTAATTTGCATTTCAATTAGCATGAACAGACGATTAGTCACAGTGTCACCAGGTCACACCCAAACCTGATAATAAGAGAAAAAGGAATATATTAGCCAAACTAACCTGTTTGATTACGTGATTAATAAAGCCATCCTTCAGGCAAATGGAGGTAAAAAAGCAATTTTCTGGTTTACTAGCTCAAATTGGCTCAGGCTCTTGATTTCACAGATCTTGCGTGCCTCTTCTATCCTTAGGGCATGTAGGGTTAGGTTATGTTACCCCCAAGTCTATCCTTAGTCCTTGGATCCCTTTTCCAATGAAACACCCCTTCACGATCTTTAGGGTTGGGCACTACTTGCCCATCAAACACCTCTTAGTCTTTAGTAAAGGCTTTACCACATCATTACGGTTAGGCACCCCTTTACGATCCTGAAATCCGGTAAAGTGCTCCCAGTAAAGTGCACTACACCCTAAATGTAAACTACATAACTTTGATAATATGCTGATATGTTATAAATATATAAATTAAATCAGTGTTGCAGTACCAGACTTAGAGCTGCCTCTCGTCATGCTAATTGACTCAATGTTGAGCATGTTTAGTTGGTTATTGTAGGCCTTAACCTGCTTCCTTGGGACTTCTTGTTGCATTGTGCACATGTTGTCGAAGTTTACATTTTATTTAATCACTATTAAATTTACTATCAGCTTTGTAAACATGAAAGGAGAGTTATGGTTATTCCAACATCATGAACACACAGTAAGGACGGGGTGGTTGTTTGAAATGTACATGATGAGCTCTGTACACATAGTTATATCAGGTGTAATGTCCATGTGATGATGTACCCCGGTATGCACTAGTTATAACAGGTATAATGTCCATGTGATGATGTACCCCGGTATGCACTAGTTATATCAGGTGTAATGTCCATGTGATGATGTACCCAGTATGCACTAGTTATATCAGGTGTAATGTCCATGTGATGATGTACCCCGGTATGCACTAGTTATATCAGGTATAATGTCCATGTGATGATGTACCCCGGTATGCACTAGTTATATCAGGTGTAATGTCCATGTGATGATGTACCCCGGTATGCACTAGTTATATCAGGTATAATGCCCATGTGATGATCTACCTCAGTATGCACTAGTTATATCAGGTATAATGTCCATGTGATGATGTACCCCGGTATGCACTAGTTATATCAGGTGTAATGTCCATGTGATGATGTACCCCGGTATGCACTAGTTATATCAGGTATAATGTCCATGTGATGATGTACCCAGTATGCACTAGTTATATCAGGTGTAATGTCCATGTGATGATGTACCCAGGTATGCACTAGTTATATCAGGTGTAATGTCCATGTGATGATGTACCCAGGTATGCACTTGTTATATCAGGTATAATGTCCATGTGATGATGTACCCCGGTATGCACTAGTTATATCAGTTATAATGTCCATGTGATGATGTACCCCAGTATGCACTAGTTATATCAGGTGTAATGTCCATGTGATGATGTACCCCGGTATGCACTAGTTATATCAGTTATAATGTCCATGTGATGATGTACCCCGGTATGCACTAGTTATATCAGGTATAATGTCCATGTGATGATGTACCCCAGTATGCACTAGTTATATCAGGTATAATGTCCATGTGATGATGTACCCCGGTATGCACTAGTTATATCAGGTATAATGTCCATGTGATGATGTACCCCGGTATGCACTAGTTATATCAGGTGTAATGTCCATGTGATGATGTACCCCAGTATGCACTAGTTATATCAGGTATAATGTCCATGTAATGATGTACCCCGGTATGCACTAGTTATATCAGGTGTAATGTCCATGTGATGATGTACCCCAGTATGCACTAGTTATATCAGGTATAATGTCCATGTGATGATGTTCCCTGGTATGCACTAGTTATATCAGGTATAATGTCCATGTGATGATGTACCCCGGTATGCACTAGTTATATCAGGTATAATGTCCATGTGATGATGTACCCCGGTATGCACTAGTTATATCAGGTATAATGTCCATGTGATGATGTACCCCAGTATGCACTAGTTATATCAGGTATAATGTCCATGTGATGATGTACCCCGGTATGCACTAGTTATATCAGGTATAATGTCCATGTGATGATGTACCCAGTATGCACTAGTTATATCAGGTGTAATGTCCATGTGATGATGTACCCCGGTATGCACTAGTTATATCAGGTATAATGTCCATGTGATGATGTACCCCAGTATGCACTAGTTATATCAGGTATAATGTCCATGTGATGATGTACCCCGGTATGCACTAGTTATATCAGGTATAATGTCCATGTGATGATGTACCCCGGTATGCACTAGTTATATCAGGTATAATGTCCATGTGATGATGTACCCCAGTATGCACTAGTTATATCAGGTATAATGTCCATGTGATGATGTACCCCGGTATGCACTAGTTATATCAGGTATAATGTCCATGTGATGATGTACCCCGGTATGCACTAGTTATATCAGGTATAATGTCCATGTGATGATGTACCCCGGTATGCACTAGTTATATCAGGTATAATGTCCATGTGATGATGTACCCCAGTATGCACTAGTTATATCAGGTATAATGTCCATGTGATGATGTACCCCAGTATGCACTAGTTATATCAGGTATAATGTCCATGTGATGATGTACCCCGGTATGCACTAGTTATATCAGGTATAATGTCCATGTGATGATGTACCCCAGTATGCACTAGTTATATCAGGTATAATGTCCATGTGATGATGTACCCAGGAATGCACTAGTTATATCAGGTATAATGTCCATGTGATGATGTACCCCAGTATGCACTAGTTATATCAGGTATAATGTCCATGTGATGATGTACCCCGGTATGCACTAGTTATATCAGGTATAATGTCCATGTGATGATGTACCCCGGTATGCACTAGTTATATCAGGTATAATGTCCATGTGATGATGTACCCCAGTATGCACTAGTTATATCAGGTATAATGTCCATGTGATGATGTACCCCGGTATGCACTAGTTATATCAGGTATAATGTCCATGTGATGATGTACCCCAGTATGCACTAGTTATATCAGGTATAATGTCCATGTGATGATGTACCCCGGTATGCACTAGTTATATCAGGTATAATGTCCATGTGATGATGTACCCCGGTATGCACTAGTTATATCAGGTATAATGTCCATGTGATGATGTACCCCAGTATGCACTAGTTATATCAGGTATAATGTCCATGTGATGATGTACCCAGGTATGCACTAGTCATGCTAAGAGCAGGACAATACACCGATGCATCATGTGCATTGGTGGATCGGTGGATCTCGATGCAAGTATTGCTCACAGTTACACACTAAATGAAAGATATTGATTCTTGCCTTAAATGTTTGGTTTTCTTACTGTAACATCAAACACTAAGTAGTAGTGAAGATTAGTTGGGAAAACTTATATATACTTTCATCCATTGCGCCATTCTTGTCGCTGCTAACTGTAAATCATCAGTGTTCCAGGTATTTGGCCACCCTGTCTATGAAAAAGTTGGCTTACGCAACATCGATAAGAGCACATGCAAGAATCATGATACATATCTGATCGTGAGCAATGTATCATGATACATATTGAATCATGAGCATGGTGAGCAATGTATCATGATACGTATCAGATTGTGAGCAATGTTTCATAATACGTATCGGATCGTGAGCAATGTATCATAATACGTATAAGATCGTGAGCAATGTATCATGAGACATATCAGATCATGAGCAATGTATCATGATACGTATCAGATCGTGAGCAATGTATCATGATACGTATCAGACCGTGAGCAATGTATCATGATACTATTGGATTGTACAGTTTGTGTATATTCCCAGCCCTAGTATGAACCAGGCATTTAACTTGGTTCAGGTATTCTCGAGTCCAGGCCCTCTCTGATAATGTTTGGGAGTCTTAGGCATGGACATATAAATCCGAGACTGGCGCCATGTGGCAGGCTTCTGTTAATTCAAGGAATTTACTGATATCGTATTGTTGCTCAGAGGCATATTGTAGGTCCCGTGGATGACGATTTGAATATAGTTAGAAGAAACTCACCCTTTGATATTCTAAACTTTGAATGTTGTTGCACAGTGGAACTAAATATTTATGAGCATGGTCTAACTTAAATGAAAACTAATCTTTATTTGGATTATCATCATGATCATGATTATTCACCTGTGAAATGACCAGGAACAGAATACCTACTAACAAATAATGGAAGATCTACAAGGAACTAAACGGGATTATCTGTTATTATGGGACTAAAAGATGAAAATGCTTTTAATCAAACATGTTAAAAGGAAGTAAATATCTAATGCTAAATGTAATTGGCTGAGAGTAAACTAACATGTCTTCAGAACAGTTTGTGACTGCAGTGAAACACAATCTATATTAGCTCCGGGTGCGTTTTGGAGAATTGTTCTTGTTAACATGATTAACCAACATGTCTTCAGAACTAATGTAGTATTACATGATAAAAAGATGTCATCAATATGTAACTTGTAACCAACAATCTCTGACTTTGATTAGTGTTAAAAAACAGCCATACCTTTTTTGCATTGTTTTATGTCCATTCTAAATCAGTAGAATCCTGACACACTTCTCCTTAAACAAATAATTTTCCCTACATTGAGCACCTTCGATCAGATTACTTCACTTTTCAAGGGAAAACAACATTTGGTCAGCATCATCGTACGATGGATCAGTGGAAGATTATTTATCAATGAACTCCTTCCAGTATGTTACAGAATGTTAACTTTTGTTACTTGTGCAGATGCTTGGCAACAATGACAACAAGCCACCGTTCCTGTCTGACAAGACCATGGACTCAGCCATCAAGAGCATTCTGAGGAAGTTCCCCCAGTATGACATCAAACAGGGGCAGGTAACTCTAACACTTGACAATATTCTTAATGCTTTAACATGTATAAAACTACACCATGGTCTAGTGGTATCCCAGATAGTCAAAGGTAGGTGGTTTGATCCCCAGTCGCGTCATACCAAAGATGTGAGTACTTGCTACCCTGCATGACTCTCAGCATGAGGGCATAAAGCAAGGCCTGGTCGACTCCGAGTCAGTATACTGTGTCTGAGTGGGTGATGTATGTTCAACTGCCACATGGTATCTCAGTGGGCTAGTACTATAATACAAGGTTAGTAGTTAGTTACACATGCGTACATTAGTACACGCACAAGTGCATGGACGATGCTATCTAAGTGCAATAACAATATTCATGATATTGGTCCTCAGCAACCTATGCTTGTTAATATTATAAATGGATTCGGTTGTCAGATGGATTGGCCACCATTCCAAACACATTGGCCTATTCATGACCATTTTTTTATAATATGTTATTAGATTTGGTAGTTTTTTTCCGAGATGTGGGTTTCAACTCATTCATAATGGTTGTTGCAATATTTTCTGACCTTATTTTAACCATACTGTGAAATTTTCCAAAAATGAATATTGCCTCTTTAAACTTCTTCCTCTGAAATTGCCAGACAGAGGGAGCTGAACTTTTATGTACAATGATGTATGATTTTCCTTATGATGACATGGTAGTGGCTGTCTTTGTTTGTTAACTATTGACATTTTTGCAGTTGAGCTACTGTGCAATGGCACTGTTTGTATCACATTGACACCCATGATGTCTACTGTTGTTGGTTTCAGCTGAATGTCGTCAACACAATGAAAAGTGAGGTGACCAAGTCCCTCTCTCTGTACTACTACACGTTTGTGGACATCCTGGACTTCAAGGTAGGCGACCTTTACACATGGGAGTGAGTCAGTGAGTTTGGTTTTACATCGCTTTCAGCAATATTCCAGCAATATCACGGCAGGGGACACCAAAAATGGGCTTCACACTTTGTACCCATGTCGGGAATCGAACCCGGGTCTTCGGCGTGACGAGCAAATGCTTTTACCACAAGGCTACCCGACCTCCCCCTTTACATGTGGCAGTAGAAGGTATGGCCTTATTAAGGATATAGCGATTGACATACAAGCTGATTATACTGATTTACTAATTGAGTGTCAGAATTCTTGTATTTCGTGAACGAGAGCGTTGGTAATACATGAATGCTCACACAAGTTTCGTAAAGTCAATAAGACACACATGTGAATGTAAACATTTCTTTATTACCCATTAGTTCTTAATATTTTTGAGCTCCCTTTTAGAAAAATGCACTTATCACAACCACTGTCTTTCAAAACCACAGTTGTCGAATGACTTCAATATTCTTCAGCTATGACATTTTTTCTTATCTAGTGTGACGTCATTCCGACCATTTGTCACAATAACAATCGATTGGTGTCAACAATGCTGTTCGGATTATGTAAACAATACACTGGCGGGTGTGAAGTTATAATTGCCCCAGTGCACATACAAGTTTTATGTACTCACTTATTTCTGACCCTGTGGGTAATAATTAAGAATATTGAACTATGATTTTCTCTTCATTTGGGATGACACTTTGAACACTAGCATTACATGTGTGACAGTAACATGTGTTTAAGTGTGTTTTGGATTCCCTCGCCTGTCTTCCCGAAAGAAGGACGTTAACTGACAATAAAACACCACCTTAATTAAAAACATAAAAAGATTTTGAAATGATCTGTCAACGCCCAGTTGACTGTACACTTCTTTGCAAATCCCGCCATTAATCGAAATCATGTTGTTTATGAACTGAATGTCAATTTTGTTTCGCAATTTTGATTTGACTATGCATCGACTCGTTAGTCCAGCCAAAATATATCTCCACAATTCCAGCCTAATTCGGCAAGGGTAGAAACTGGACTTTTACAGTCAGTTATCTCCCTTGCCTTTGGAAGATGTCCCTCCCCCAGTTCAATGTTCTGTGACCATGGTAACAAAAAGATGTGTTCAAGTGTGTTCTGTTTCTCCTAGGACCATGTTGTGGACCTGCTGACCACTATTGATGCCTGTCAAGTACACATGGACATTGTAAGTATCAGCTCACGGGATGCTGGGATGACAGGAAATCTTCAAATTTGATATGAGAAGACTATTCCCAGGCTCTGTTCTAATTGTATCAATATCATTGAGCAAGCATCGTTTCTGTCTCTTATGCTGAAAAACTACATAACTTGATGACCTGAAGAAGGCACTGGTAGGCTGTGTCAGGGCTTTGTACATGTATCATAAAGATGACATGTTGATTGTCATGTTCCTCTGATTGATGCAAGTCACAGAGCAGAGTTGCTTCCCTTGGCTGTTCAAGGATCTGCTGATTATGGCTTCAACTCTCAGATTTGTCCCAGCTATGATCTCTGTTTTCTTAACACCATACCCATTCTCTAGGATTTCTCCAAAGGGGAAGCATCACTTTGATCATTAATTATGCTGACATGCAGTGACATCACTGGCCCAAACCGTGTTAAACCAGTGCCCTTCTTGTCGCAGACGTCCAGCTTTGACCTGACACGGAACTACCTGGACCTGATATCGACGTACGTGTCAATCATGATCCTGGTGTCCAAGGTGGAGGACCGGAAGACGGTGCTGGGTCTGTTTAATGTGGCGCATGAGTTCCTGCATGGAAAAGGGTATGATACAGCCTTGATCTCTGTGTTTGGTGTATTAGTAGTCCCTCGTTAAAGACAGACGAAGTTTGTTAACCAGCAAACGCAGTAGATGTCACTCAGGTCAATTATCACTATAGAAGAGTATCGCCTGGTATCTTGTGATACAATTCCTATCACGATACGGACTGATGATACTACTGGTATCATAAGACTCCTCATCAAACAGTAAAAAATTATGAAATCACTGAAATGCAGCTCTAAACATTGCTAAACCTCTTTCTTCATACATAATTATTTTTATCTCAAAAACTTTAACAAAGAAAACCACAAGAACAAAACAGCTTTAAATGAGGGGATGGCTATAAAATGTAACAGATAGTCGGCACGTCCTCAGCTACAACATCTTCGTGTTATGCCATGCTTATAGGTGGCGCTATGCTACTTCTGCCTTGATCGGAGGTCACTCTATTAGTTCATGTTCTATTTATAGCATATCACGATCTTACAAACTGACGATTCAAGTATCGTGTGTACCTAAATATTGATGATATCGTAGGTATCAGTGAATCGTCACAGCCATAATTATCACAGTCTTGAATCGACCTGGTTCTTATTCCTGGATGATAATACTATTGTTTACCAGAAGCCACACATGCCCATAGCTGAGCAGTATACTTGTAGTGGGATGATGCATCGGTGTCTCACAATTGTTTACTTCTCGATACAAGCATTGATCACAGTCACATACAAAGTAAAATGTACTGATTCTTACCTTTAAATGTATTCTTTAATAAAGTTACACCAAACACTAATTACTCGTGAAAATGATTATTGAAAATTTTCCATTGCGCCATACCTGACACTGCCAACCGTTAATCATTAGTGGTCCAGGTATTTGGCGATCCTGTCTATGAAAAAGATGGCTTACACACCACATATAAGTGCACATGCAAGTATCAGAAAATGTATCGGATCGTGAGCAAGGTGTCGTGATACTTATCGGATCACACACCTGGTGTATCGTAATATATATTAGATTGCACAGTTGGTGTATCGTGATACATATCGGATCACACAGTTGGTGTATCGTGATACATATCGGATCACACAGTTGGTGTATCGTGATACATATCGGATCACACAGTTGGTGTATCGTGATACATATCGGATCACACAGTTGGTGTATTGTGATACGTATCGGATCACACAGTTGATGTATTGTGATACATTTGGATCACACAGTTGGTGTATCGTGATACGTATCAGATCACACAGTTGGTGTATCGTGATACATATCGGATCACACAGTTGGTGTATTGTTCCAGCCTTACTGTAAACTGTAATGATTTCTTTTAAAGTTTATCATATGTTGGTCCTGGATTCCATACCAGCTAGATTAGAGAGTGTCGTGATTCATGGGAATTCCCAATTAAAATTAGTCCCCACCCAGCAACTGCAACTACGAGACCCATGAAGACCCAGGGGAGAATAGGTCTTCAGCAACCCATGCTTGCCGTAAAAGGTGACTTTGCTTGTCGTAAGATGCGACTAACGGGATCGGGTGGTCAGGCTCGCTGACTCGGTTGATGCATGTCATCGTATCCCAATTGCGTGGATCGATGCTCATGATGTCAATCACTGGATTGTCTGGTCCAGACTCGATTATTTACAGACCACCATCATATAGCTGGAATATTGCTGAGTGCGGCGTTAAACGACAAACCAGCAGCAGCAACTACGAGGTGACTTAATGGACCAGGATGTCTGGTACTGTGGCCACGTTGATTGCATGTCATTGTTCCCCAATGATCATATCATCAATGTCTGGTCCATACTTGGATATTTAAAGGCTCTTTGCGCATACCCTAAATGTTGCTGAGTGCAGCTTTAAACAAAATTATTCTGTGATGCATATATATTAGCCTTGAAGCGATCATGTGTCATTTGACAGATATTCATATTGATCTAAAGGGATGACAATTTACGTTAATGACTTGAGCTACTGAAAATAGAATGGGAATTACCCAGAAATTGTATTCCCCAAACCTAAGACAATCAGATATCTATATCTATATCTATATTATTGACTGTTATAAAAAGAAAATATGAACGCTTGAAACTTGTTTATTAAAGTTTCATATCCTAAATCTGCCTTTGTGTCTTTATTATATATTAAAACAAGTGTAGACTTATGAGGTCTATGCCTGTTTTTATTGACCTGAAGAAAGCAATATGAAGGCTGCTCTTTTCACCTGCTTATGAATGCTCAATTAACCAGTTGGTGTTTCTTTCAGTGACCTTGCGTACCCGCGTCTAGGCCAGATGTTCCTGGACTATGACATGCCCATGAAGAAGTTATCGGAGGAGTTTGTGCCACATTCCCGGGTGAGTTAAACACTGCACATACTGCAGCACATGTTGTCCGTGTGTTACGTGTGGTGAGGTGAGGTGAGATGGGGTTTATCGTGAGGTGAGTGAGTTGGGTTTAACGCCGCTTTTAACATTATTCCAGTTTTATCACAGCGTGAGGTGAGGTGAAATGGGGTTTACTGTGAGGTGAGGTGAGGTGAAATGGAGTTAACTGTGAGGTGAGGTGAAATGGGGTTTACTGTGAGGTGAGGTGAAATGAGGTTTTCTGTGAGGTGAGGTGGAATGGGGTTTATTGTGAGGTGAAATGAGGGTTTACTGTTAGGTGAGGTGAGATGGGGTTTAACATGAGGTGAAATGAGGTTTATTTTGAGGTAAGTGAGAAGGGGTTTAACGTGGGTGAAATGGGGTTTAATGTGAAGGGAAATGGGGTTTAACATGAAATGAAATAGGGTTTTATGTGAGGTGAGGTGAAATGGGTTGGCACATGAGGTGAGGTGAAAAGGGGTTTATCTTGAGGTGAGATGGGGTTTATCGTGAAATGATGTTTAATGTGAGGTAAAGTGAAATGGGGTTTAAGGTGAGGTGAGGTGAAATTGGGTTTAACATAAGTTGAAGTAAAATGTTGTTTAGTGTGAGATACGGTGAAATGCTGTTTTGATGTGAGTTGAAATGTGGTGAATGTGAGGTGAGGTAAAATGGGGTTTAACTTCAACAAGGACTGCTGACCACTGAAACTTCAAGTAGTGATGTTATGTATCCTTTAATGTTAATGGCGAATTTTGACAGACCTGTTTAATCTGTTCCTTGCAAAGTTGAAATGATGGGACACATTTATTTTGGTTGATCAGTTCCTGATGCCAGCACTGCTGTCGCTGCACGACGTCTACCCTCGACGGAACCTCCCCGCAGAACAGATGCGGAACCATCAGTTCCTTAGCCTCCTGTCGGAACCTTCAAAGATGTCCACTGTCCCTAACACAGACATGGTGGGTAATCACTGGTTATCACCATTATCATCTAGTTTACCACTGTGTTGAGTTGCCTCCTTTGGTTTTGTCAGGATCCACTTGTTTTGGGTTGACTCACAAACTATCCTGATTATAATTTTCGCTTTGTCAGAGTCTAGGATCTTAAACTATGTGCCCAAATATTGTAAGATAATATATTCTTGCATTTAAAGGTATTCTAACACAGCATTATATGCAATAGTGTCAAACCAAGTCACATGTGCAAAGCTATAAAATATTCAGTTAAGACTTATGATAGAGTTAGGGTATCTGTAACTGAACTTTGGGGAGTTTTAGCAACATTTACTTCATATTAGGTGCCGAATATTGGCCACTGAGAATGCTAGGTACTCCCGATATGTTCCTTCAGACTTGTCTTCAGTATTAAGCTGACATTCCTTGATTTGTGACTTACATTGTGACAAGCCATCACTATCGTCACAGTCTATTTGCTGCAATAACTACATCAGCTGAGTATGTTTTTCATTCCTGTTTGTTGTGTGTTTCAGATTCAGTGTGAATACCATTCGCTGGACATAATGGAGCGGTGGATTATATGTGAGTGCGTCTAGAAGCATTTAGTCCACTGAACTTGTAGTCCCTGTCACGTTTAGGGGGGAAATGATACACCGGTACATCGTGAGTTTCCGACAATACGATGCATGATACATTTTTTACTGTATCGATGCAAGACTACACACTTGCTAAAATAAATTACCTACTACTCATTTAATGACCCCAACATCAGCGTTTTTTTCCGTCAGATATCACAAAATGTGTTGTAATAAGTTCACTACTAAAAATAGCAGCTTCGAAAATGTGGCTACAGCTAGCTTTTTCCTCTTGATCCTGCTCTGAAATATTTATTGCGGAGATGTTTCCTTGTGATAAGATGTATCGTGATACCAGTGTTCGCGTTAACACAGAAACCTGCGCTTTCCACGCATTAAAATCATATAAACACGCAAAAAATATTTTGCATGCGTGTTTTGCACGCACAGATTGTGATATACTTAATTTTGTATTAATACCATAAAATAACAAAACTATTGAAAGCTGATAGCCTGCTTACGATGTTCAGACGAAAATAAATCAAAACCTTGAAATTCCCATTGCTAAAAATAGAATGTGGCCAGATGGCGCTTTGAATCGCGTCCTTTAAATTTCTACATATGGTCTTTGGAAAACGGAATAACTTATCTCAGACACAGGACGTCATTTGTTACTATAGATGGAATTCCCCGGAAGTCGATCGTTTCATCCAATCAGAACCCAGCTTACAAGCAATACATTTATTTATCGATTTATCAAGTATAATTTGCGCTTTAAAAAACCAAACACATCGAATCCCTTCAGGTGAATAAGCAGATATATCTGTAACAAACTTGGTCAATAAAAGTATGAAATTTGATATAAAACATCACTAGACATGATGATATACCATTTAAAATGTATTTCCTGCTCTCAAAGGCATTGTTTTATATGCAGAGATTAAGATTACCGTGTGTATTTTCTCGTAAACTAAGCCGGAAATAGCAATCAGCTGTGCACACGTTTCCTCCCAATCTACCGGTGATTCAGTTAAAACGTACCCAGTCATACAACTCTAAAGAAATTTGATGCAATGGTCGGAAGAAATTGTATCCGAAATTATTATTTTATCAGGAATAATATATTCCAATGACGTGTTATTTTAGTTGCAGCTTCCGCCATATATACTTAAAAAAATTATAGGAACCACAAGCATGGCATTTTGGTACAGATTGTATGCAGGATATATATTTTGACGTATGTAACGATTTTGACCAGTCACCGTAGGGACTTCCCGCGCAACATGTATTTTGATTGCGAAATTGTTATTTTGACATTTAATTGTCAAACTGCCTAAAATATGACTTTTAACGGGTCATGGTACGGCATATATGATATGTGTATCCATACTCTTGCAACTAAAGTTCGTTTCAAGGCGTCAATAGCGGTAATCTGACCGTGGTTGCTGTTAATAACGGTGAGTTGTGCGATCTACCGATCACTTCGCATACGATTTCGCCGAAATTATTGAATGAAATTTTGAATATAATTAAAAAATATATTGCAAACATTCGTCCAGATAAACAATGAACATTTTTTTATATTACCAGATATTATTATAACAGGATTAAATTGCGTACTTCTGTTCGGATTTATTGACTGGTGTTTCCGGTGTTACGTGATCGTGGTGATCAGCTGATAATGTTTTCTGAGATGGGGGAAAACATCGTGTCATTGGAAAACTTGAGTTTATTGAAAATGTTTGTAAATTTTGGGAGCCATGCTTTACCGCGCGCTATAACCGAGTTAGCGCTATATTGAAGGGCGCAATAACGAGGGAATACTGTAGTCAGTAAATGAACGATCATAAACAAAGCGACGGAAGAAAACTTCGACACATGGGCATGTGCTAACAACAGTCATATTTATTTTATCAATGATTGAACGTTCATTTTATCAAAACTGGATCGTAAGTTAAAGCTTGGTCATAATTATTAGCTGTACTAGTACTGATTACTGATTTTATTGAAATAAAAACTTCACACGTGAAATATTTGAATTGAAAATTTATTATTTCATTCCGCACGCACTGTACAAAAACCTACCGCGAACACTGGATACATATCATGACCTTGCTGTATCGTTTCACCCCTACTAGCATTGTGTAGGAAGTATTTGTATTTTAAGGAGTGAGAGATGGAGTTTCAGTCGGGCTGATGTTGGTTGTGTTTCAGTCGGGCTGATGTTGGTTGTGTTTCAGTCAGGCTGATGTTGGTTGTGTTTCAGTCGGGCTGATGTTGGTTGTGTTTCAGTCAGGCTGATGTTGGTTGTGTTTCAGTCAGGCTGATGTTGGTTGTGTTTCAGTCAGGCTGATGTTGGTTGTGTTTCGGGCTGGCTGATGTTGGTTGTGTTTAAGTTGGGCTGATGTTGGTTGTGTTTAAGTTGGGCTGATGTTGGCTGTGTTTCAGTCGGGCTGATGTTGGCTGTGTTTCAGTCGGGCTGATGTTGGCTGTGTTTAAGTTGGGCTGATGTTGGCTGTGTTTCGGGACGGCTGATGTTGGCTGTGTTTAAGTTGGGCTGATGTTTGTTGTGTTTAAGTTGGGCTGATGTTGGTTGTGTTTCGGGACGGCTGATGTTGGCTGTGTTTAAGTTGGGCTGATGTTGGTTGTGTTTCAGTCGGGCTGATGTTGGCTGTGTTTCAGTCGGGCTGATGTTGGCTGTGTTTCAGTCGGGCTGATGTTGGTTGTGTTTAAGTTGGGCTGATGTTGGCTGTGTTTCAGTCGGGCTGATGTTTGTTGTGTTTCAGTCGGGCTGATGTTGGCTGTGTTTAAGTTGGGCTGATGTTGGTTGTGTTTAAGTTGGGCTGATGTTGGTTGTGTTTCGGGACGGCTGATGTTGGTTGTGTTTCAGTCGGGCTGATGTTGGTTGTGTTTCAGTTGGGCTGATGTTGGTTGTGTTTCAGTCGGGCTGATGTTGGTTGTGTTTCAGTCAGGCTGATGTTGGTTGTGTTTCGGGCTGGCTGATGTTGGTTGTGTTTCAGTCGGGCTGATGTTGGTTGTGTTTCAGTCGGGCTGATGTTGGCTGTGTTTAAGTTGGGCTGATGTTGGTTGTGTTTAAGTTGGGCTGATGTTGGTTGTGTTTCGGGACGGCTGATGTTGGTTGTGTTTCAGTCGGGCTGATGTTGGTTGTGTTTCAGTCGGGCTGATGTTGGTTGTGTTTCAGTTGGGCTGATGTTGGTTGTGTTTCAGTTGGGCTGATGTTGGTTGTGTTTCAGTCAGGCTGATGTTGGTTGTGTTTCAGTCGGGCTGATGTTGGTTGTGTTTCAGTCGGGCTGATGTTGGTTGTGTTTCAGTCAGGCTGATGTTGGTTGTGTTTCGGGCTGGCTGATGTTGGTTGTGTTTCAGTCGGGCTGATGTTGGTTGTGTTTCAGTCGGGCTGATGTTGGCTGTGTTTAAGTTGGGCTGATGTTGGTTGTGTTTAAGTTGGGCTGATGTTGGTTGTGTTTCGGGACGGCTGATGTTGGTTGTGTTTCAGTCGGGCTGATGTTGGTTGTGTTTCAGTTGGGCTGATGTTGGTTGTGTTTCAGTCGGGCTGATGTTGGTTGTATTTCGGGCCGGCTGATGTTGGTTGTGTTTCAGTCGGGCTGATGTTTGTTGTGTTTCAGTCGGGCTGATGTTGGTTGTATTTCGGGCCGGCTGATGTTGGTTGTGTTTCAGTTGGGCTGATGTTGGTTGTGTTTAAGTTGGGCTGATGTTGGTTGTGTTTCAGTCGGGCTGATGTTGGTTGTATTTCGGGCCGGCTGATGTTGGTTGTGTTTCAGTTGGGCTGATGTTGGTTGTGTTTCAGTCGGGCTGATGTTGGTTGTGTTTCGGGCTGGCTGATGTTGGTTGTGTTTCAGTCGGGCTGATGTTGGTTGTATTTCGGGCCGGCTGATGTTGGCTGTGTTTCGGGCCGGCTGATGTTTGTTGTGTTTCAGTCGGGCTGATGTTGGTTGTATTTCGGGCCGGCTGATGTTGGTTGTGTTTCAGTCGGGCTGATGTTGGTTGTATTTCGGGCCAGCTGATGTTTGTTGTGTTTCAGTCGGGCTGATGTTGGTTGTATTTCGGGCCGGCTGATGTTGGTTGTGTTTCAGTCAGGCTGATGTTGGTTGTGTTTCAGTCGGGCTGATGTTGGTTGTGTATCAGTCGGGCTGATGTTGGCTGTGTTTCAGTCAGGCTGATGTTGGTTGTGTTTCAGTCGGGCTGATGTTGGTTGTGTTTCAGTCGGGCTGATGTTGGTTGTGTATCAGTTGGGCTGATGTTGGCTGTGTATCAGTTGGGCTGATGTTGGCTGTGTTTCAGTCGGGCTGATGTTGGTTGTGTATCAGTCGGGCTGATGTTGGCTGTGTTTCAGTCAGGCTGATGTTGGTTGTGTTTCAGTCGGGCTGATGTTGGTTGTGTTTCAGTCAGGCTGATGTTGGTTGTGTATCAGTTGGGCTGATGTTGGCTGTGTATCAGTTGGGCTGATGTTGGCTGTGTTTCAGTCAAGCTGATGTTGGTTGTGTTTCAGTCGGGCTGATGTTGGTTGTGTATCAGTTGGGCTGATGTTGGCTGTGTTTCAGTCAGGCTGATGTTGGCTGTGTTTCAGTCGGGCTGATGTTGGTTGTGTTTCGGGCCGGCCTATGTTGGTTGTGTTTCATACAGGCCTATGTTGGTTGTGTTTCAGTTGGTTTTATGTCTGTGTTTCAGTTGGGCTGATGTTGTGTTACCAACATGTGTCGGAGGCGAAGGCGTGGGACCTGTGGAAGACGGCCCTCAGCTCCGCCTACATCATCCAGCTGTGCCGAGACGAGGTGCTGCACATACACAGCTACGTCGTCAACTTCTTCGACAGTCTGAAGGGGTACGTCCTGGGGGCTGCATTACAAGAAATCCAGAATATGCAGTGAAATTTCATTGACTGAAGTCCCTTTTACAATTTGATATTTGTTGGTTATCAAGACTATTGGGTACTGATATGATAACATTTTGCCACAGGACTCTTGATGGAGGAGCATAGTGCATACAGACAGTCATTATTGACAATCATCTAAGGGGAGGTATATGTCCATCTTTAAAGAATTTAAAAATGCTACTGATCTGAAGGAAGATGTTTATAGTAGGATTTACGTTTTTAAGCCACAACATCCAGCACAAGCGGGTGACAGAAGTGAAGGAGCTGCAGACCCTGGCTCTACAGACAGCGTGAGTACTGCAACAAGATGCTTGTTTTTTGTTTAACGCCACACTCAGCAATACTCCAGCTACATGACAGCAATCAGTCAGTCAATTCTACCAGACAATCCAGTGACTAACATCATGAGCATCGATCTCCAAAACTAACTCCACGTACCGGTACTCTTTAGTCAAATATTTTTGCCACAGAATTCAGAAAGTTGTCAGTCAGCCCCTTCCTGGGACCCATTTACTGCTTTGTGAACAGGGATGCAGTTTGATAAAAGCTGTTTACACAACAAAATGTGAGCTGTGTATCAGGAAAAACATGTAGGAGGACTCGTGGAGTCCATTCTGTAAACAACATGGCAAGACACGACTACAGCTACCTGAACTAGTGTTGCCTGGCAACTGCCTGTTCTATTTATAACTATTATATTTTCGGCAGGGACTTGTCAGTTACAATTGGATTAAAAATTGGAAAAAATGCATATAATTCAATTAATAGAATCACATGCTTTACAATTATGTATGATTATATAAATTTGAGATAAATTTGAGAAGTTTCACTGAGATATCATAGATTAAAAATTACGCTTACTTATGATGGCATGGTTCATTTATAATGGCTGAGGTTTTGGCATCAGTGCATCATGCCCAGGGCCCTGTCCACAAAGCGAGCTTAGCTCTAAGTTGATAGTAACACCCATACTTTAACGAAGGCTTACGATCATCGTAGCAATAAACTCGCTTTGTGGAACGGGCCCCAGGTCATGTTAAACCACAGGACTGAGTGAGTCATGCAAACAGATATTGAAAATATGATCAACCATGATAGTATGTCAATATCGATACAAAACCTTAATTTAGGGAGAATTCGATATTAACATTTCACTATATGCAAACTGTGTGGCTTATGTAATTTGTGCATGTGACACAATATCACATGCACAATGCTGGTAACCACGGGGTCTTGACTTCCTACTTTGATTTCAGCCCCGCGGTGCACCGTGAGCGGCGGAAGTTCCTGCGGACCATGCTGCGAGAACTGTCCCTGGTGTTTTCAGACCAGCCTGGCTTGCTGGGGCCAAAGGTGAATAATGATACAGTGGAGGCTGTGAATCTAGCTATGCCTCAGTTCCATCATTAACGTTCACTATCCACCGATGTCTTATTACCGAACATTAACGTTCACTATCCACCGATGTCTTATTACCGAACATTAACGTTCACTATCCACCAATGTCTTATTACCGAACATTAACATTTACTATCCACCGATGTCTTATTACTGAACATTAACGTTCACTATCCACCTATGTCTTATTATCGAACATAACATTCACTATCCACCGATGTCTTATTACCGAACATTAACGTTCACTATCCACCAATGTCTTATTACCGAACATTAACGTTCACTATCCAGCGATGTCTTATTACTGAACATTAACGTTCACTATCCACCTATGTCTTATTATCGAACATAACATTCACTATCCACCGATGTCTTATTACTGAACATTAACGTTCACTATCCACCAATGTCTTATTATCGAACATAACATTCACTATCCACCGATGTCTTATTACCGAACATTAACGTTCACTATCCACCGATGTCTTATTACTGAACATTAACGTTCACTATCCACCAATGTCTTATTATCGAACATAACATTCACTATCCACCGATGTCTTATAACCGAACATTAACGTTCACTATCCAGCGATGTCTTATTACTGAACATTAACGTTCACTATCCACCAATGTCTTATTACCGAACATTAACGTTCACTATCCACCTATGTCTTATTACCGAACATTAACGTTCACTATCCACCGATGTCATATTACCGAACATTAACGTTCACTATCCACCGATGTCTTATTACTGAACATTAACGTTCACTATCCACCGATGTCTTATTACCGAACATTAACGTTCACTATCCACCTATGTCTTATTACCGAACATTAACGTTCACTATCCACCAATGTCTTATTATCGAACATATCATTCACTATCCACCTATGTCTTATTACCAAACATTAACGTTCTCTGTATCTAGCAATGTCTCACTACCAAACATAAACATTCACAATCCACCAATATCTTATTACCGAACATTAACGTTCACTGTATCTAGCAATGTCTGTATAAAGGGGGAGATAGAGTCTATGGCTGACATAGTGTTTGTGTGTAAGGGAGGTTATAGGGGAGATAGAGTCTATGGCTGACATGATGTTTGTGTGTAAGGGAGGTTATAGGGGGTGATAGAGTCTATGGCTGACATGGTGTTTGTGTGTAAGGGAGGTTATAGGGGAGATAGAGTCTATGGCTGACATGATGTTTGTGTGTAAGGGAGATTATAGGGGGTGATAGAGTCTATGGCTGACATGGTGTTTGTGTGTAAGGGAGGTTATAGGGGAGATAGAGTCTATGGCTGACATGATGTTTGTGTGTAAGGGAGATTATAGGGGGTGATAGAGTCTATGGCTGACATGGTGTTTGTGTGTAAGGGAGGTTATAGGGGAGATAGAGTCTATGGCTGACATGGTGTTTGTGTGTAAGGGAGGTTATAGGGGAGATAGAGTCTATGGCTGACATGATGTTTGTGTGTAAGGGAGGTTATAGGGGAGATAGAGTCTATGGATGACATGATGTTTGTGTGTAAGGGAGATTATAGGGGAGATAGAGTCTATGGCTGACATGATGTTTGTGTGTAAGGGAGGTTATAGGGGAGATAGAGTCTATGGCTGACATGGTGTTTGTGTGTAAGGGAGGTTATAGGGGGTGATAGAGTCTATGGCTGACATGGTGTTTGTGTGTAAGGGAGGTTATAGGGGAGATAGAGTCTATGGCTGACATGATGTTTGTGTGTAAGGGAGGTTATAGGGGAGATAGAGTCTATGGCTGACATGGTGTTTGTGTGTAAGGGAGATTATAGGGGGTGATAGAGTCTATGGCTGACATGATGTTTGTGTGTAAGGGAGATTATAGGGGGTGATAGAGTCTATGGCTGACATGATGTTTGTGTGTAAGGGAGGTTATAGGGGAGATAGAGTCTACAGCTGACATGGTGTTTGTGTTCAGGGCATGTTCGTGGTACAAGGGCTGTCGATGGCCCGGGATGAGATCCACTGGCTGCTGCGACATGTCGTCAACCCGCCGTCAAAACGTCACAACATCAAGCTGTCCCAGGAGGACTTCTACGACAGGTGTGTATTCAGGAGTCAGAACCCAGACAATTAAGGCACATTCAGAACACTGGACATAATCTGACAATCCAAACATTATTTGCAATTTCAACATAAGTGATGTGGCAGTGTTTGAAATTATAGTTTATGTCATATTTGTTCTGATTTCTCCTGTTTTCCAGACAGCTCCCGGAACTGTTGTTCTACATGGAGGAACTGAAAGGTGAGGAGAAGATTCAGTAGATCCAAAACAGTTTGTGACTTTAATACACCAATTAAACAACTGCTACCATGTGACATTGTGTGTTTCCACTCTTCCCGAACTAGGCTCAAAATTGCAAAGCATGTGAACCAACTTGGCATCGACAGGTGTTTTCCAAATCTTTCATGACTTTGATCAAGATGCTCAAGTGATTGCACCTTTGACCTTGATTATTGATCAGATCATCTTGAGTGGGCGCCGCTATTTCGTTTGTAGCAAATACAAGTGATATGAGAGGTTGAATCTGATTGGTCAATAAGAGAGACACAGAAGAGACATTTATCGTAATCGCCACTGGTGGCACTACAACTCAGCCTAGTTCGGCAAGTGTGGAAACTGTTTTTTTGTAGTCAGTTACCTCCCTTGCCTGGAACAGATGCAATCTTTCATGTTGGGTCATCTTGTCCCACCAACTGACAAAAGCAAATGGCCATTACTAGCCTGTCTATCAATCCTTAAGGCTGTAGTGAGTGAGTGAGTATGGTTTTACGCCGCTTTAAGCAATATTCCAGCAATATCACGGCGGGGACACCTGAAATGGGCCTCACACATTGTGCCCATGTTGGGAATTGAACCCAGGTCGTCGGCGTCACGAGCGAACGCTTTAACCACTAGGCTACCCGACCGCCCCTCATAAGGCTGTACTACATGCTGCTTCCTAAAACTAATTACAACAATACAGTGATTGTAGAAATAGCTGATGGTCATACAACAATATTTCAAAGTTTTCTACACATTGCCAGGGCTGGTGAAGAAATACAACCAGGTGATACAGCGTTACTATGTGCAATACCTGATGGGCTACGACGCGGTCTATCTCAATCAGCTCATCCAGGCAAGTCCTTGTTCACCTCACATAGTCACAGGTCCAGCTATTGATTGAAACTGTTTGTACTACTATGTTCATTAAGTTCAACGTCCATCAGCACATTCTTTAGATGCTTTTTTAGCTGGGTTTTTTAAGAAGCTCTTTTTCATCATATTCATTAAATGTGACACCAGGAGAAAAGAGATCTTATAGGTGCTAGGATATGATTGTGCTGTGACGTCTGTACACAAATATCTTGTTTTTCCCTCGTAGGTTTGTCATGTAATCAAAACATTGTTTCAAAAATATCAGCTAAAAATGGCAAATTTCTACTGGTCCTTATGCCACCTGAACTATTGGTTAGTTTGGCAATCACTACAGGACTAGTAGCAATTTCTAACGCTTGGTTGTATTTTTCGATCCGAAGATACTGTAGTTTTAGAATATAATAAGAAGTCAAAATGTGATTTTTCACTCGTAAGGTCCCTTATCTCATGGATGGTCACATACAGTAAATTGAATAAGTTGTGTTCACTGTAATATTTACTGTTAGACACAAGATCTTTTTGTTGCCAAGAAATGGCAATATCATCACATGTTCTGACATACCTTATATGGATGGGGAAATGCAAACAATAGTATCGCCGTGATAGTAGCCCTTTCATGTAGCTTTTTACTCGGGATACTTGTGTTGGAAGTCTTGTATGGTGTTCATTTTGGTGGCCAATTATTCCCAGTGGTAATTAGTGGATCCGAACCATGAATACCTTCCCCTGTGCACTGAGTCTCAATTTTCTGATTCATATTCACCTCGTATTTTGTCTGTAACAGAATCTTGCAATGTGCCCAGAAGATGAATCTGTGATTCTGTCGTCTTTCTACAACACAATATCTGCCCTGTCAGTCAAACAAGGTGAGCAAGATCAGGGACACACTCTTCTGTTTGTAACCCAGAAAGTATTAACTTCGTATTTAACATAGATTTTCATTAATTTAAAGCAAATGTGGGTCAAGGATGGTGAAGTGATGCACACTATACACAACTGACATCGTGAACCAACACACAGGATCGGTGGATGTAAGGTGTCTTGAAAGAGAACTGTATTCACCCCACTGGATCCGCTGTGTCGCGAATGTTGATTTTGTATAAATTTTGTTTTCATGTTATTAAGTGAAGCTGTCAGTTCTTCTATTTTGTCATTGAAACCCTGTTGGTCTGGGCCCACCTGCCTACTGACCGCCTCCGTGGCCTAGTGGATAGAGCGTCTGTCCAGTGACCAGAAGGCTGGTGATTCCATACCTGTCCACTTCATACCAAAAGATGTTAAAAGATGGTACTTGTTGTTACCCTACCTGGTGTTCGGCATTAAGAGGCTAAAACAAGGACTGGTCAGCTCGGAGTCAGTGTCTGAGTGGGGTATCCATGTTAAACTGTGGCATGGTATCTCAGTGTGCGAGCACTATAAAACCCCATATTTCACTGTCAGAAATGTTTACATATACTGAACAAAAACATTTAGGACAGATGAATTTTATGAGGGATGTTTTTTGTAGTGAGGACTGAGCACACAATTTCATTAAAATATCCACAAAATATTCATGATCCATAACTCTGTAATATGTTGTTATGTATGTTATCAGTTGAAGAAAATGAGCTGTTTGACTTCCGCGGACTTCGTCTGGACTGGTTTCGGCTGCAGGTGAGTTCATCCCTTCAACATGGATGTCTGCAATACTCAGTAACCATCATCCATTATAGAGTAGACTAGGTCCCCCACAACCTGTGCTGGTCAGACAAGGCGACGTATTAGATCAGGTGGTCCACTCAGTAACTGGGCGACGTACTAGATCAGGTGATCCACTCAGTGACAAGGCGACGTACTAGATCAGGTGATCGGCTCAGTGACTGGGCGACGTACTAGATCAGGTGATCCACTCAGTGACTGGGCGACGTATTAGATCAGGTGGTCCACTCAGTGACTGGGCGACGTACTAGATCAGGTGATCCACTCAGTGACTGGGCGACGTATTAGATCAGGTGATCCACTCAGTGACAAGGCGACGTACTAGATCAGGTGATCGGCTCAGTGACTGGGCGACGTACTAGATCAGGTGATCCACTCAGTGACTGGGCGACGTATTAGATCAGGTGGTCCACTCAGTGACTGGGCGACGTACTAGATCAGGTGATCCACTCAGTGACAAGGCGACGTACTAGATCAGGTGATCCACTCAGTGACTGGGCGACGTACTAGATCAGGTGATCCTCTCAGTGACAAGGCGACGTATTAGATCAGGTGATCCACTCAGTGACTGGGCGACGTACTAGATCAGGTGATCCTCTCAGTGACTGGGCGACGTATTAGATCAGGTGGTCCACTCAGTGACTGGGCGACGTATTAGATCAGGGGATCCACTCAGTGACTGGGCGACGTATTAGATCAGGTGGTCCACTCAGTGACTGGGTGACGTATTAGATCAGGGGATCCACTCAGTGACTGGGGGACGTATTAGATCAGGTGGTCCACTCAGTGACTGGGCGACGTATTAGATCAGGGGATCCACTCAGTGACTGGGGGACGTATTAGATCAGGTGGTCCACTCAGTGACTGGGCGACGTACTAGATCAGGTGATCCACTCAGTGACTGGGCGACGTACTAGATCAGGTGATCCACTCAGTGACTGGGCGACGTATTAGATCAGGTGGTCCACTCAGTGACTGGGCGACGTATTAGATCAGGGGATCCACTCAGTGACTGGGCGACGTATTAGATCAGGTGGTCCACTCAGTGACTGGGCGACGTATTAGATCAGGGGATCCACTCAGTGACTGGGGGACGTATTAGATCAGGTGATCCACTCAGTGACTGGGCGACGTACTAGATCAGGGGATCCACTCAGTGACTGGGCTGATTGCGTGTCAGCGTACCCCGATGGCATGGATACCGTTGCTCACAATGTTGATTGCTGAATTGTCTTGTCCAGATTTCATTATTTACAGGCTGCTGTCATATAGCCGAGTGTGACATTAAACAAAGACAGTAACCATTAATGCAAGCGTCAGAGTTTTAAACTTTAATCCACTTGTGTTTATATTTTTGATATGAACTGACTTATCTTTTAACATATGGAACCAGTGTTTGAAATTAAGCATGATTCATTGGGTCCTTGCTAAATGAGAAAGATTTTGTGTCCCTAGAATAAGTAGAATTCAAACACTATAGGAGAAGACCTAGAACCCCCTTAATTTTAAAACTTTGGAACAGTCCTCTTGACATGATGAGTATGGCCTGGTTCCAGTCGTACACCAGCATGAGTAAAGCGGGGCTGATCCTGAAGGACCACCGCGACCTGGCCCGCCACCTCAACACCGTCATCTTCCACACCAAGATGGTCGACGCCCTGGACGAGCTGCTCAACGAAACAGGCGACCTCTCTATATACTGGTAAGTGTTGTGTCGTCTTGGTGTGACCCCATGGGGTTCCGGGTTAGAATAGGTCCTCACCAACTTTCTCTGGTTTTGAAAGGGACCAGATGGAATCGGGTAGTCAGGTCCGGTGACTCGAATGATCCATGTCATCATACCCCAGCGACGTGGGTCATTGTTCACAATATCAATCACTGGATTTTCTGGTCTGGACTCCCATTGTTTACAGGCCATCGTCAAGTAGCTGGAAAAGTGCAGACTGTGGCATTAAACAAAAGACAAGAACACAAATTGTTCCTATAGGTAGGGGTATGACATCTGCTGATGGGGTGGACCTGTTCTAATGGCTGGACATGTCTATCATTATGAATTGGATGATGAACATGACGATGCGGTAACCAAGACAGGGAGCCTGACAACCCAATCCCGTTAGTAGCCATGGGTTGCTGAAAACCAGTATTCTATCTCAGTGCAGTGTTTCCGCTGGGCTTTGAAACTGCCATTACCAGTATCCCCCCATATTTGGTCAGTCCAAATTTCCAACAATTTAAAAAAATGTAAGAAAATTACCTTGTTTTTATTCTTTCAACATCATGTTCAGTGTAGTGTAATTTCATAGCTGACATATTAAATGACGTCAACTCTGAAGTAATTTGGTTAGATCTACATGTCATTCACACAAAGTTTGGTCATAATTTTCTCTTTTCGATTTGAATGTTTCACTTTGGTTTGAGGCTAAGTTGTTACAAATAGATATTTAACCTTGAAGCTAAGCGAAATGTTTCCTTGAACTAAGAATAGACAACAGGAAATTATGATGATAACAGACAAGCTGACTTCGTTCCAAAAGTATACTTTATTGATGATCGCTGATGATTTGTTAAACTTTTTTGTGTAAGGTTAATCATGTTTAAAGAAGTTCCCATGTAAATATTGAACTGAATTCCTCAGACCCGATACTGTGTGTTGCAGCTTCTACACGAACCTGTTCGAGCACCAGTTCAAGCAGTGTATGGAGTTCCCGGCCCAGCACCGCTTCAGCATCATCTTCCCCATGATCTGCGGCCACTTCATGAACGCCACCCACCCGCTGTGTCCCGAGGAGGTCAGTCTCCTCATACGTTCCTACCTCCATGTAGCTTGGCATTAGGGGATAAAAGAAGTACTGCCTTAGTGAGGTATCTATGTTAATCTGCAACATGGTATCTCAGTGGGCCGGCACTATAAAATCAGCATTAGTCTGGACTAGTACAAGCAGCCACACACACATGTGCATGTATGTCGCTATATAAGTGCAATAATCTTGAATGTGATGTTGAACCCAATCGTCACTCTTTCAGGATGACGAGCGTCCAGTACATGGTATACATGTACAGCTTGCGTTTACAGCGGCACTCTATCAGGACGACGAGGGTCCAATACGTAGTATACATGTCCGGTTTGTGTTAACAGCGGCACTCTATCAGGACGAGTGTCCAGTACGTAGTATACATGTACAGTTTGTGTTTACAGCAGCATTCTATCAAGATGACGAGTGTCCAGTACGTGGTATTCATGTGCAGTTTGTGTTTACAGCAGCATTCTATCAAGATGACGAGTGTCCAGTACGTGGTATTCATGTACAGTTTGTGTTTACAGCAGCATTCTATCAAGATGACGAGTGTCCAGTACGTGGTATTCATGTACAGTTTGTGTTTACAGCAGCATTCTATCAAGATGACGAGTGTCCAGTACGTGGTATTCATGTACAGTTTGTGTTTACAGCAGCATTCTATCAAGATGACGAGTGTCCAGTACGTGGTATTCATGTGCAGTTTGTGTTTACAGCAGCATTCTATCAAGATGACGAGTGTCCAGTACGTGGTATTCATGTCCGGTTTCTGTTTACAGCGGCACTCTATCGGGACGACCAGCGTCCAGTACGCCCACTGGTTCCTGCGTGAGATGTCGGAGGAGGTCAACCAGGTCATCACTGCGATCTGTGAGGAACAGTGCATGCTTAGCTACAAGGTGAGTAGCAGACAATGAGATGTTAGCTGGTAAGGATGGCCAATTTCTCCTGCAGCAATGTGTTTTTTGTTAAAAATCAAATAAGATCATATTTTCGTTCAATTAAATGTGCTTAAAAAAATACAAATACAAATGTCCTAAGAATAAGTCAAGAAAAATTAAAAGGCACACTTTTTAACATAGCTATCAGTTGAAATGTTCTGATAATATTTACAAATCCTATTGCACATATCTGAACCTAAAATTGATCAGGAAATTTTTTTCACGTCAGTAAATTCTGCTATTGCGTGCATGCAGGTCTTTTATTCTCATTTTGATACCAAACATGTTACCAAGCAACGACAGATGAAGTAAATTGTTACGTATGTTTCTTTCTTTATCATGTTTATATGCTGACTCACAACGTAAATGTTTTCAAGCATCTGACATGTTTGCGCTCAAGTCCATCTTGAACCTGAACAATGGCATTGTTGTGTTTAATTACCTCATGCCTTAATACAAAGAGCAGCCTAATTTCATTTTTGTGACCTTTTTACCAAATATTAAAAATATTGGAATGTGCTTATTTAAAGTATTTTCTTAAACTTGATGAAATATCCATCAACGGTTAATGTACACAGACGTCTCTAACACTTTGTTTACAAATAATTAAACTATGATTGATATAATGCTTCCCTCTGGACATATTTTTAAATTTTCGATGAAAGTCTAAAAATTCCACTTCTCTTCAGTGAAATTGCATTTGTTGTTTGTGCAATAAACTAAATTTGGATGAAAATCTAATAATTATCGATCCCTTGCCTGACTTTGTTGTTGTGATTCCCTGATTGAGTTTGTGGTTGTTTGTGCAGCTGCTGCCGAAGCACAGCGCAGCCGCCATCCTCCACACCGTGCAGCGCAAGAAGAACAAGGAGAAGAAGAACCGAGAGATCAAGGAGCCCGAGAAACCAGGGCAGGAGAGCATCCGCAAAAACAGGGAGAACTTTACCAGGTGATGTAGTGGCTTGATGAGGAGTTACATTTGTGTACAGACATTGGTCTTTGCAATATTAGTTAATTAGGATTAAAAATAATAGAATTGGTTCTCAGGCAATGGCTTTTGAAAATAAAGTGCAGGCGGACAGCCTTTTTTGTTTTGTGTTGTTCAAACTTCAAACTAATCAACCTGTGAAGGGCCTCCCTACATAAATGTATTCCTAGATGCGTAAAATACTGGAATACAGTCTTTGACTTCTGTTTGACTACCAGTGTGTGCATAGTACATGCAAACAAGTTTCGATTTTATTTCACAATGCAAACACGTTATCGTAAGCACACAACACCGAAAGTAACATGTCAACAAATGTGTACTGAACTAGGCAAGTTATTCCTGTTATTACACTGTCTGGCTATAAAAGTGTTCATTGTATATCTGGACTTACATTTGTAATCCACTATGTTACTTTTATCCAAGATTTCACTTAATTTTTACATTAATTTCGGTGAAATCGTGTATGGACTGATTGGCAAATCACATCAACTCACCATGAACTTGCTTTGAAATGAACATTAGTTGTGAGAGATAAAAAGTCTTCAGCCTTCTTATCACTGTATTGAAATTTCTTTTCAGTTATGATATTTGCCATGACATTATGTATTTTTAAAACTAAATCACCCAAAGATCGGGGACAAAATTCTGGCTTATTTTATGAGACAAATACACTTGTAACCTTACTCTCTGCCTATGAAACATTGTCTGGCCTACAGTACACAAATACCATTGGATTAATAAATCATTATGTGTCGTGATGTTTCATCGTAAATTTCATGTTTTCATTGACAAAATTTGCAAACAGCAAAACAAGCACATTTACTCCTATTGCCACCATGACCATAACACTCGAGATGCACAGTAAAGCAGTGAGCATGTAAAGGGAGATAACTGCACGCTATGTTGGATCGCATTGTTTTTAAGTATTGTAGCATTTCACTGTTGAGGTCATGTGTTCGAGACGTGGAATATGTAAATATTTTCTTGCTTGAAAATGGGAATAAACATGGACTGGGAAACTGCATACTGTAATTTCTTGTGTGTAGTGTGCACAAGCCATTCTTGGGAAAAGGTTTGGGAAACAACTGAAATATTGTCCAAGAGGCTTAATCCAATGCTTGGCGTTATATGGCTGACATAATGCTGATACGACGTAAAATTATAACTCACTCACTCACTAATCCTACGCTCACTTACTATTGTCCTTGTGAACATCAGACCTGCAATTGTCCTCTGGTCTATTTGCTTACAGAGTTGCCTCCCTTGTCATGCTGCCATGATGGTTCGAAACTAATCCTAATCATGACCCACAATGCACTGTATGGCTTCGTAACTGAAATGCGACATGGACCTTAAGTCCCTCACTCACTGCTCACCAGGTGACCCCAGGTGTTAAGTGAGTGCAGTAACCATGGTAGCCTGTAGAATTTGTCGTCATGTTTGTTAGAGAATTCATTTCCTGTTTGATCCCCCAAGGATGGACAAGCTACACATGGCGCTGACAGAGCTGTGCTACGCCCTCAACTACTGCAACATCATCACCGTGTGGGAACACGGCTTCGTGCCCAGGGAGTTCTTCCTCCAGCATCTCGAGACGAGATTCAACAAGTAAATACATACATATATGCAATAATGACTTGTTCAGAGCTCCAGATAAGCTGCGTATCTGCGTGAAATACGCATCAGAAATGCAGAAATACACAGTAAAATATAATCCAAGTGTATCAAATACGCAACGAACATTACAGATACGCTACAAAAATAAAACTTGTGCGTATCATCAAAATATTGTGAAGTAACCCTGCGTATTCGATTAGCAAATCAGCAACCTATTTTTAAATTATATACGGGCATTCCGTCAACCTTGCCAAACTCCACGATGACAGTTACATCATGATCATTTGCCATCACACTTTCTTGTGGAAGTATCGTGGTATTTTTTAGTCCTATAAAAAGTCCTCTCGAACCCATAGACACCAGTTTGCAGGGACTAGATGAATAGTGTTTTTAAATATTTAACTTAAATACCCACATGTGTAAAAACTAGTGGGTAACAGAAATTTGAATACCCAGATAGAATTACTGATACCCAATGATTTTAAAATGCATGGGTAAAATACCCACAACACCAAAAGCTTATCTGGAGCTCTGCTTGTTTGGTTTGTGCCCCTCTTGGACCCAGGGCAGATTAGATCCCCACTATGTTTGGCATGGGTCCTAGAGCCGACCAAGTGGTCACAATGGTGATGTGATCAGTCATCAGGCAACCGTGATGTACCTGGAACACTGCTGCCAGCATAGTACAACTACACTCACTCATTCACTCACTCTATGACATATCATTACTACCTTGTAACCTGTGAAGATCCGGGTTTGAATAAGTCTTCAGCAAACCATGCTTGTCATAAGAGGTTCCTAACGTGATCGAGTGGTCAGGCTCGCTGACTTGGTTGATGCATGTCATTATGTTCAAATTGTGAGGATCGATGCTCATGATATCAATCACTGGATTGTCTGGTCCAGACTCGACTATCTACAGACTGCGTCATGTACCTGGAATATTGCTAAGTGTGTTAAACAGCAAACAAACAAACAAACTACTTTGTACATGCAGCCCCAGGAAGTGGTTCAAATTTAGTTTCCTGCCCTCAATTTGACCAGTAACCATGGTAACAAAGTTCTACATTGCTTGTTTCCCTCCTCACTCACAGAGCCCTTGTTGGGATGATGATGTACAACCCAGAGACCAGTGAGATTGCCAAACCTTCAGAACTCCTCAACGGCGTGCGAGCCTACATGAATGTCCTCCAGAGTATCGAGAACTATGGTGAGTACAAACATGCATATAAATATGTCTCTAACACAAGAGACCATAGCTATATCTTGCTTACATTTCAGTCTGGAAATTCAGCCATTGCATTTGATTTGATGTTGGACATTTGCTTAATGTGATGTACCTTGCTGTGCAGAGTGGCCTCCCTTAGCTTGTCAGTGTCTGCTAATTGTGGGTTCAAGCCAATATTTTCCCAACTTTGACTAATGGACAACAGCCAGGCACATGGGTTACACCAAAATGGTAATTGTCTATCACCTACATGACCTTCATCTTAACATGAAGTCACACACAATGCTGTGTTAAACTCACAGATTCACAGAGTGGATGATGTCATTTCAGTTCACATCGACATTGCCCGAGTCTTTAACAATGTCCTCCCCCAGCAGACGCAGGCCACCGACAGCACAGGGGAGAAGACCGTTACATCCAACTATACAAACTGGTAAATACATGTACCGTGTCAACATTTGTACAGTTGTAGTAGAAATCAGCTGTGCTGGGTTCTCGTCTATTATCACTGTCTGATCACTGTTTCGAATTTAGAATGAAATATAAAGGGTACTTACTTCGGAGATAATCATACTGTTTTTCTATGGAAGTTTTGTGGCACTAGGCTAAAAAAAATAAGTCGTGGTTCTCAGGCTCCGCCCCCATCATCATAAAGTTCGCTGCACATTTTGTTTTTGTTTCCATTATAAAAACAAACAAAAAAATCCTTAAATATTCCAAGTTCAACGGTAGTCAAATACTGTATTCCAGTATTTTACTCATTAGGGAATACATTTATGTAGGGAGGCCCTTTCCCTGGTGGATTGTACACAGCTGTTTATTTGATTACACAGCTGTTTATTTGATTACACAGCTGTTTATTTGATTACACAACTTTTTATTTGATTACACAGCTGTTTATTTGGTTACACAACTGTTTATTTGATTACACAGCTGTTTATTTGGTTACATAGTAGTTTGAACACACACACACACACACACACACACACACATACAAAAAAAAGGCCACCGCCTGCCCGCACTATATTTTGGAAAGTTATTGCCTGAGAACCAATTCTTATGTTTTGTTTAAGCCCTTTAGCTGCAGTGTGTGCTCATAGTGAGTTTGGTCTGTGGGTAACAGTGTGTGCTCATAGTGAGTTTGGTCTGTGGGTAACAGTGTGTGCTCATAGTGAGTTTGGTCTGTGGGTAACAGTGTGTGCTCATAGTGAGTTTGGTCTGTGGGTACCAGGGGACAATAATATGATGTGAGGTGTCTTAAGATTTTAATCTATGAATCAATTTCTCGGCCTTGTCCATATTAATGAGGAAGTACTGATATATCCCACGATGCTCTGCAGGTATCTGGAGGTTCTCCTGCGCCGGGTGACGGTCAACATCGGCCAGATCGTCTACTCCCCCAGCCAGAAGGCATTTGTGAGCTTGTCCTCGGACGGAGCGGCGCCATTTGCTGCTGAGGAGTACGCTGATCTGACAGGTACAGGAGCCTGACCCCGGGGTGATTGCATAGGGGTGGGGATCAGGGGTGGGGTGGTGTTCGGGGAGTCACAAGATACGACTCTGATGTAAGAGACTGATTGTTTCGGGAAGGGATTCGGGGAAGAACCCATGCTTGCCGTAAGAGGAGACTATGCTTGCCGTAAGAGGCGACTTACGGGATTGGGTGGTCAAGTTCGCCGACTTGGCTGATACATCTCATTGTATCCTAATTGCGTGGATCAATGCTCATGATATAAATCACCGGATTGTCTGGTCTAGACTTGATTATTTACAAACCGCCATCATATAACTGGAAAATTGCTGAGTGCCGCACTAAACAAACAAACACATCACTGTCCTTCAGCACCCTCAGCAGGAGGGGTCACATCAGGCAGATAGAGTGGGCAGTCACAATGTCCAGCACCCTCAGCAGGAGGGGTCACATCAGGCAGATAGAGTGGGCAGTCACAATGTCCAGCACCCTCAGCAGGAGGGGTCAGATCAGGCAGATAGAGTGGGCAGTCACGATGTCCAGCACCCTCAGCAGGAGGGGTCAGATCAGGCAGATAGAGTGGGCAGTCACAATGTCCAGCACCCTCAGCAGGAGGGGTCAGATCAGGCAGATAGAGTGGGCAGTCACGATGTCCAGCACCCTCAGCAGGAGGGGTCAGATCAGGCAGATAGAGTGGGCAGTCACAATGTCCAGCACCCTCAGCAGGAGGGGTCAGATCAGGCAGATAGAGTGGGCAGTCACAATGTCCAGCACCCTCAGCAGGAGGGGTCACATCAGGCAGATAGAGTGGGCAGTCACAATGTCCAGCACCCTCAGCAGGAGGGGTCACATCAGGCAGATAGAGTGGGCAGTCACAATGTCCAGCACCCTCAGCAGGAGGGGTCACATCAGGCAGATAGAGTGGGCAGTCACAATGTCCAGCACCCTCAGCAGGAGGGGTCACATCAGGCAGATAGAGTGGGCAGTCACAATGTCCAGCACCCTCAGCAGGAGGGGTCACATCAGGCAGATAGAGTGGGCAGTCACAATGTCCAGCACCTTCAGCAGGAGGGGTCACATCAGGCAGATAGAGTGGGCAGTCACGATGAGTGCAGTCCAGGTATTGTTCTGTCTGGGAGACACCCCATGCAAACCATGGTGCCATGTTCATCGTACATACTGCTGTGGTCATCATGTCACATGATATTTCAGAGCTACGAGCGCTGGCAGAGCTTATTGGGCCGTACGGCATGAAGTACATGGGCGAGAGACTGATGCTAAACATCGCCAGCCAGGTGGACGAACTCAAGGTAACACAATGAAACAGGTCGACTACTGTACCACCGTATGGGGAAAGATACACCTTATGCTTGTCGTGAGAGCAGATTAATGTAGGGTCCCAGCTCGGTGTCAAGTAAACAGTGGGTGAAAGTACACGCTTCTATGGTTGATCCTTGTACTCTATCACCCTGTAGGGATTCCAGGTCAAAGTAGGTCACCAGTACCTCATGCTTGTCGTGAGTGCAGATTGAACTGTGGCCAGACTGGGTGCATCTTCCCCAGGCAAAGGAATTAACTGACTGTAAAAGTCCAGTTTCCACATAGAAGGGACATAACTCTTAATAGCCACTGGTGGCACTAAGATCAAGCCAGGAAACTGGACTTTTATAGTCAGTTAACTCCCTTGCCTCAGGGTGATGGACTCGGGGTTATATTAACCAGTCTCTTGCGAGTGTGATCACCAGCAGCACCAGGTGGTACATGTCTAACACCTGCATGGCTTAGGGCTTCAACTCACTGTCAGTATACACTGTCAAACAGCGTCGTTAAAACCACTCACTCACTCATGGGTTGTATTTGGTAAATGCCACTTTGGGCTCTCCTCTCCCAAAATGCTGACTCACCATGACTGATTTCTCTGTCAATTGAATATCTCGTGTTGCAGAAACTTGTAATCATCAACAAGGACGTGCTGATCCAGCTCCGGACCAGCTTTGATAAACCCGAAACGATGAGGGAGCTGTCTAGGAAACTGCAAAGTAAGAGATTAGGCTTGTGCCCTCCATATATTACAATGTGGTTACCCTACTGCACCTTCACTGTTAAAATACACCTTGGTATCTTGTGATGAAATATGTTTATCTGGACATAGATCTATTAATTAATATTTTACTAGAAATAAATAAAATGTATACTGAATGGAGTTCTGGCATACAATGATATCTCAATTTTAATGTCAAAACTATTTTCAGTTTGCCTCAGCTAAGAAAATAGATAATAAATTAGACCTGTGAAGATCCAGGTAGAAAATAGGTGAGGCGACTAACGGGATCAGTGGTCAGGCTCGCTGTCTTGGTTGATGCATGTCATTGTATCCCAATTGTGTAGATTGATGCTCATGATGCCAATCACTGGATTGTCTGGTCCATAATCGATTATTTACAGACCACCGTCATTAGCTGCAATATTGCTGAGTGTGGCGTTAAACAAACAAAAACATAATAAATTAACAAAATTAATAAGTTAAAATATCAATTTCTGAGATCTCTTGATGCAATAAGCTTGTTGTTTGACAAGAAAAGACAAATATCCTCTATGTTAACTTCACATGAATGATAGTACTAAATCTCCAATTCTTCACATGACCTGAACGCTGTATGTATACAAGTGCAGGGTATAGGGGTATCAGGGGTGTTCTGTGATGAAGATTTGGATGTATCTATCTACAGATCTATATAAAACATCTTCAGAGTAGATGATCAATAGGCCCAGTCAGTGTCAGCTGCAGGACCTTCACTGAGTACTGATGAACACGATGGATGGATTTGTAATATACAGGGATCTCACGATAAGTTTACATCGGGATACTGATATGATAATTTAGAACAGACCAATTTTATTTCTTGTTTTGCATATTTCCTTGTTCAGTACACCAAAACGTGCAAGGCAAAATATAAAAGTTGTCTGATTTGAGGTTAAGCTCTTGAGCATAAAAAAGTCTCTTGCAATATTCATGATAGTAGTTTAAAAACAAATAGAAACAAACAGATGTTGGAAATAAGAATATTTATTATCAGAGCTTTACAAAAATCCCAATTTTGAACAGAATAGCGAAGTATTTTTCAAAATTTGCTGACAAGGTTCACTTGTAAATCACTGACACAGTGAAATTCTGATTATGTCCTTGTATTGGGTTCCGGAGATATGTCTGGCCGAGAGAGAGGTTCCAGATTGATGCTTGTTGTGGTAAACGTGATTATGGGAGAACTGATTCAGCACACATCGTGTTATGAGGATAAGTATCTAGATGAATCATGTAATCGTGACTACATGTAAAGTGCAGGACTTAAGCTGACCAGTAGAGCTATTCCACTTTCAGGACATAACGCTGGTAATTACGTGTAGACTGACTGGAGAAACATGTGGCTCTCCTCTCTGTATCCACCCTTCGTCTGTAACAGGGTTCAGGGACTTGTTTTTATACAATTCTACATTTGGCATCAATTGTCTCTAGACATTGCAGAACTAAATTCTGCAACTTGATTTAAAAGCCAGCATTCAATAACTTGAGCAACTAAATTAAGCAGCATTTTCCTATATATATTTTTACATTCGAACCTCACTTATCCAGACTCTTGCATTTTCTCAATATTGTCCGGATAAGTGAATTTCTGGATTACTACCAAATTACTCCTTTACCAAATATTCATTTCAAACTGACATTGGCCTAATATATGTTGGTGTATTTGTTTATGAGAGCATTTATTCAATAAACGTTGCTGAAAATAGACATGTCCTTGGAAAGATAATGAGATGAAAGCCACATACTTAACCCCAAAATTAACGAAGTTACTGATGAATGGGAGTAGCTGTGCTCTGTTAGAAGTAACATTTGTAGAGGTCTCTCTTGTCAGTGGCTCATGTGTGATTTGTCTTTATGCATCATGTAGAGACGAAGCCCGTTTCAAGTAAGGCTGTGTCATTAATATATCCGTGTAGCTTCAGTGGCAGTGTTGAATATTGGATGTCATTGTCACTCATCATCTCCGAATTGGGAGATGTTAGTGTAGAATTCTGACTTCTGTATTGTGATAATTAAACAGTCTGTGACAAAACCATTTCAGTCCATTAGCCCAAACTTTTAACATAATTTTCAGTACATTTAAGTGCTATCATATGGCATGTATTACCTGATATTCTAGACCGAACAGAATTTTACTAGGCTCAGGCTTTGGACTAGTGGCTAAAGTCGCAGACTGAAACATTTTGTGACTCATTTGTTAGTGAATGGTTTTATTTAAGGTAAAAATGTTTCATCTGTCATATTGCATATTATTATCAAGAATTAGTTTCCGATTTCTTGTTTTGAAAAAGTCAACTGGATGTTGTTTGCGTCAATTTGAAATATTCCATAATGTGCTGTTCATAGATTAATAATTTGATATGATCCATAGTAATTAATATTAATAAGATTAACTATATTCTGATTTTGATGATGTAATGAGACTTTCTTTAAAGTAAAATGAATTGTGTCATTCACTCTTGACAGTGAAAATTGTTGTTCATGCTATCAACCACTGGTACACCGTTCTCACACTGAGTTATTCCCTAGCTGCCGTGATACAGCTAGAATATTGACTGTGACTTGAGACACCCTTCTCTCCCCTAAGAACATCTTAAAAAAGTACAGAAAATTAAAATAACACTGCCACTGAAGCTTGCATTATTTTGTCAGTTTGTCCAATTTGTAGTCATGACAACAGAAAGGTTGATCAGTCACGCCAAGAGGCAGGATGTGCATGTGTTCCTGTGAGTCTCTCTGTTGGAGAAGCTGGTTAAGACTTGAGTGAGTTCACAGCCTCGACTTCAGTGACTGATCAACTCAGATAAAAGCAAACAAATAGCAACACATTTGGATAAAATAATTCATTGATGGAATCCAAACTTGAGATCCTGCATATTTCTTTTATTTGAAGAACAGTATTTATAGTTTCTAAATTTGATGTTTCAAATTTTTCTTGAATTTTACCGTCACTTTCCCTTCTCTCTCTCCTTCCCTTTCTTTCCCTCTTTACATTATTTCTACACTGTTGTGTCTGTGTTCCTGTACTGTCATCTAGGTATAAGCCCTGGGCTCATAGTTACTATAAGTAGGAACTATTTACTCTCAGTACAGTCCAAATTGCTTGCAATGTTTCATTCAAGGTCAAGGTCACACTCAAGGTCATTCTGTCCAGAAATTGATTCCCTGTTCAAAGTGTTGTGACTTTTCCCATCATATTTATTGTGGTCAAGCCCAGTGATGAGGGATTGTCTCCCTTAGCCTTGCCAGGATCTGCTATCTAGGTTTCCCCAAGTTCCCCTGAATATGATCCTTGGTCAGAAGGCAACCTGTTTCACCAGAGTGGCAGATGCCATGAACATGCATTTTGTTTGTCTTCCCTTCCATATAAAGCTGACATGTCATCATGATGAAAAACCCATGTTAAGATGCAGGATAGAATTGGACTTCGGCAATCCATGCTTGTCATAAGTGGCGGATAACGGAATGGGATGGTCGGACTCGCTGACTTGGGGCGACACATGACATTGTATCCCAACTGAGTAGATCAAACCTCATTATGTCAATCACTGAATTGTCTGGTCCAGACTCAATTATTTAGAGACCCGTCAATAGCTGCAATATTGCTGAGTGCGGCGTTAGACAAACAAACAAACAAACAGGATGATAAAACTGAAATAATGTGGAAATATAATGCCACTCACTTGTTTTCTATGGAAACCTAAGAGCAGGAGATCTCATCAGAACACAAGATGGCCTGTAGTTTGTCGAAGTGGAGTACACAGATTTAGATTTTATACGTAACCTCTGACCACATCCAGGAGTTGAGATCCCCCTCTATCACGTTTGTATGGATGATATTCTGTGATGACGTGTCCAGATGATGATTGTCCAACACATCCTCGATAATTCATTGCAACTTCTCTCCATCCTATGATGATGCACACGAGCACGTGGACCCATTCGCCATCTTAGCTTCATGACAGACTGATGTCACAATCTCCATCTCTCGTAGCTCTAACTCTCCAGGACCCTGTCAAAACTAATCAAAACACCTGTCCTGTATGCGAGTTTGGCATAGATTCACATTCAAACTCATGTCCTTGTGAGCATGGCCTGAGAAAGTTAACTTCAATCAGTAGTAAAGACGAAAAGACGTTTCAATGAATATCAAAACAGTGAGAGTGAAGTGAATATTCTGCATGACGTTGCCTTTGAGACAGCTCACATTCCGAGTACTGTGATATCTCAATTACGATCTTTGTAATTTGATTTGATTTTTGTCGTTTCGTCTTTTAAACCAGACTGAAATCAAACTATGTTGGCGAATGGGTCCATAATAATAAAGAGACAAAACCATGAGTAACCAAGGATATGTCCACCATTGCATGTAAATACATCTCAAATGGTAAGTGTAGTTGTACACAGAATGGGCTTATATCTGAGATTCCATCTGTCACTGTCTTGTCTCTGTCTGTGTTAGTGATACTGTACATGTAACGTTCACCAGTTGGTTCTGTCACGTTTCATTCTGTATGTTCCACTAAGATTATAACAGATTTCTTCCAAAACAAAATTTTCTATCTTTTTTCTCCTTTGAGGTTAAAAGTGGTATTACAATGCCATCTCATTATTCTAGGTGTAACGATTGCAGTAAAATCATCCAGAACTTCTTGCATTGCAGGGATTTCCTAGACTTGCGCAGAGGCCGATATTAGGCATCTGCAGCAAATGTCAGTACATATTTTCCCTCTTCATGTACTATAGTTATAATTAATGTTAGAGCTTGGTAGAGGAGACTTGTACTATAGTTATAATTAATGTTAGAGCTTGGTAGAGGAGACTTGTATTTCACTGGTAGCAGGACCAATGAGGAGGGAGAGGGTTTGATGCTTTGTTTTAGATTGTTGCATTGAAGGCAATGTCAATATATCTTTGTATGGGACAAAATATGAGCTTTGTAAAAGTCACAGGTTTGAGCAGAATAATTATTTGTTGCCAAATGGTCTTTGTTTGGATTCCTAGCTAAATCCCTGCAATGTTCTGGATGAGTCACAAGACCTGATTATGTGCACCTTACAAAACGTAGTGTCCAGTACCTCAGGATCTGGACTATAGAGTTTTCATTGTGTACTGGTTAGTAGCATGTGAGGCACATACATACAACAAAGTTACTATCAAGCTCCTTTGCTGTGTTATGTTTTGTACTGACTTGTTGCGTTATAGAAGACTTACACTGTCCATGTCAACTCTGCCTCCAGTATATCATGTCTTTTCCTTCTGCCCTTTTTTCATTTTCTGTTTTTCTGTTCTCCTTTTCCAACCACCCAGTGAAACCACTTAACCACCCTCCCTCCCAGCCAGTCTCTCATTCAGACAACCACCCTCCCTCCCAGCCAGTCACTCATTCAGACAACCACCCTCCCTCCCAGCGGATCTCTCATTCAGACAACAACCCTCCCTCCCAGCCAGTCTCTCATTCAGACAACCACCCTCCCTCCCAGCCAGTCACTCATTCAGACAACCACCCTCCCTCCCAGCCAGTCTCTCATTCAGACAACCACCCTCCCTCCCAGCCAGTCTCTCATTCAGACAACCACCCTCCCTCCCAGCCAGTCACTCATTCAGACAACCACCCTCCCTCCCAGCCAGTCTCTCATTCAGACAACCACCCTCCCTCCCACCCAGTCTCTCATTCAGACAACCACCCTCCCTCCCAGCCAGTCACTCATTCAGACAACCACCCTCCCTCCCAGCCAGTCACTCATTCAGACAACAACCCTCCCTCCAAGCCAGTCTCTCATTCAGACAACCACCCTCCCTCCCAGCCAGTCTCTCATTCAGACAACAACCCTCCCTCCCTCCAAGCCAGTCTCTCATTCAGACAACAACCCTCCCTCCAAGCCAGTCTCTCATTCAGACAACAACCCTCCCTCCCAGCCAGTCTCTCATTCAGACAACAACCCTCCCTCCCAGCCGATCTCTCATTCAGACAACCACCCTCCCTCCCTCCCAGCCAGTCTCTCATTCAGACAACCACCCTCCCTCCCAGCCAGTCACTCATTCAGACAACCACCCTCCCTCCCAGCCAGTCACTCATTCAGACAACAACCCTCCCTCCCAGCCAGTCTCTCATTCAGACAACAACCCTCCCTCCCTCCAAGCCAGTCTCTCATTCAGACAACAACCCTCCCTCCCTCCAAGCCAGTCTCTCATTCAGACAACAACCCTCCCTCCCTCCAAGCCAGTCTCTCATTCAGACAACAACCCTCCCTCCCAGCCAGTCTCTCATTCAGACAACCACCCTCCCTCCCAGCCGATCTCTCATTCAGACAACAACCCTCCCTCCCTCCAAGCCAGTCTCTCATTCAGACAACCACCCTCCCTCCCAGCCTATCACTCATTCAGACAACCACCCTCCCTCCCAGCCAGTCACTCATTCAGACAACAACCCTCCCTCCCAGCCAGTCTCTCATTCAGACAACAACCCTCCCTCCCTCCAAGCCAGTCTCTCATTCAGACAACCACCCTCCCTCCCAGCCTATCACTCATTCAGACAACCACCCTCCCTCCCAGCCAGTCACTCATTCAGACAACAACCCTCCCTCCCAGCCAGTCTCTCATTCAGACAACAACCCTCCCTCCCTCCAAGCCAGTCTCTCATTCAGACAACAACCCTCCCTCCCTCCAAGCCAGTCTCTCATTCAGACAACAACCCTCCCTCCCTCCAAGCCAGTCTCTCATTCAGACAACAACCCTCCCTCCCAGCCAGTCTCTCATTCAGACAACCACCCTCCCTCCCACCCAGTCACTCATTCAGACAACAACCCTCCCTCCCAGCCAGTCTCTCATTCAGACAACCACCCTCCCTCCCACCCAGTCACTCATTCAGACAACAACCCTCCCTCCCAGCCGATCTCTCACTCAGACAACAACCCTCCCTCCCAGCCTATCACTCATTCAGACAACCACCCTCCCTCCCAGCCAGTCACTCATTCAGACAACAACCCTCCCTCCCAGCCAGTCACTCATTCAGACAACCACCCTCCCTCCCAGCCAGTCTCTCATTCAGACAACCACCCTCCCTCCAAGCCAGTCTCTCATTCAGACAACAACCCTCCCTCCCAGCCAGTCTCTCATTCAGACAACCACCCTCCCTCCCAGCCAGTCTCTCATTCAGACAACCACCCTCCCTCCCAGCCAGTCACTCATTCAGACAACCACCCTCCCCCCCAGCCAGTCTCTCATTCAGACAACAACCCTCCCTCCCTCCAAGCCAGTCTCTCATTCAGACAACAACCCTCCCTCCAAGCCAGTCTCTCATTCAGACAACAACCCTCCCTCCCAGCCAGTCTCTCATTCAGACAACAACCCTCCCTCCCTCCAAGCCAGTCTCTCATTCAGACAACCACCCTCCCTCCAAGCCAGTCTCTCATTCAGACAACCACCCTCCCTCCCAGCCAGTCTCTCATTCAGACAACCACCCTCCCTCCAAGCCAGTCTCTCATTCAGACAACCACCCTCCCTCCAAGCGGATCTCTCATTCAGACAACAACCCTCCCTCCCAGCGGATCTCTCATTCAGACAACAACCCTCCCTCCCAGCCAGTCACTCATTCAGACAACAACCCTCCCTCCCAGCCAGTCTCTCATTCAGACAACCACCCTCCCTCCCTCCAAGCCAGTCTCTCATTCAGACAACCACCCTCCCTCCCAGCCAGTCTCTCATTCAGACAACAACCCTCCCTCCCAGCCAGTCTCTCATTCAGACAACCACCCTCCCTCCCAGCCGATCTCTCATTCAGACAACAACCCTCCCTCCCTCCAAGCCAGTCTCTCATTCAGACAACCACCCTCCCTCCCAGCCAGTCTCTCATTCAGACAACCACCCTCCCTCCCTCCAAGCCAGTCTCTCATTCAGACAACCACCCTCCCTCCCTCCAAGCCAGTCACTCATTCAGACAACAACCCTCCCTCCCAGCCGATCTCTCATTCAGACAACCACCCTCCCTCCCAGCCGATCTCTCATTCAGACAACCACCCTCCCTCCCAGCCAGTCTCTCATTCAGACAACCACCCTCCCTCCCTCCAAGCCAGTCTCTCATTCAGACAACCACCCTCCCTCCCAGCCAGTCACTCATTCAGACAACAACCCACCCTCCCTCCCAGCCAGTCTCTCATTCAGACAACCACCCTCCCCCCCAGCCAGTCACTCATTCAGACAACAACCCACCCTCCCTCCCAGCCAGTCTCTCATTCAGACAACAACCCTCCCTCCCAGCCTATCACTCATTCAGACAACAACCCTCCCTCCCTCCAAGCCAGTCTCTCATTCAGACAACCACCCTCCCTCCAAGCCAGTCTCTCATTCAGACAACCACCCTCCCTCCCAGCCTATCACTCATTCAGACAACAACCCTCCCTCCCAGCCTATCACTCATTCAGACAACAACCCTCCCTCCCAGCCTATCTCTCATTCAGACAACCACCCTCCCTCCCAGCCAGTCACTCATTCAGACAACAACCCTCCCTCCCAGCCAGTCACTCATTCAGACAACAACCCTCCCTCCCAGCCTATCACTCATTCAGACAACCACCCTCCCTCCCAGCCAGTCTCTCATTCAGACAACCACCCTCCCTCCCAGCCAGTCTCTCATTCAGACAACAACCCTCCCTCCCAGCCGATCTCTCATTCAGACAACAACCCTCCCTCCCAGCCAGTCTCTCATTCAGACAACAACCCTCCCTCCCAGCCTATCACTCATTCAGACAACAACCCTCCCTCCCAGCCAGTCTCTCATTCAGACAACCACCCTCCCTCCCAGCCAGTCTCTCATTCAGACAACAACCCTCCCTCCCAGCCAGTCTCTCATTCAGACAACAACCCTCCCTCCCAGCCAGTCTCTCATTCAGACAACCACCCTCCCTCCAAGCCAGTCTCTCATTCAGACAACAACCCTCCCTCCCAGCCAGTCTCTCATTCAGACAACCACCCTCCCTCCAAGCCAGTCTCTCATTCAGACAACCACCCTCCCTCCCAGCCAGTCTCTCATTCAGACAACAACCCTCCCTCCAAGCCAGTCTCTCATTCAGACAACCACCCTCCCTCCCAGCCTATCACTCATTCAGACAACAACCCTCCCTCCCAGCCTATCACTCATTCAGACAACAACCCTCCCTCCCTCCAAGCCAGTCTCTCATTCAGACAACCACCCTCCCTCCCAGCCAGTCTCTCATTCAGACAACCACCCTCCCTCCCAAACAAGCTCTCATTCAGACAACAACCCTCCCTCCCAGCCAGTCTCTCATTCAGACAACCACCCTCCCTCCCAAACAAGCTCTCATTCAGACAACAACCCTCCCTCCCAGCCTATCACTCATTCAGACAACTACCCTCCCTCCCAGCCGATCTCTCATTCAGACAACCACCCTCCCTCCCAAACAAGCTCTCATTCAGACAACAACCCTCCCTCCCAGCCTATCACTCATTCAGACAACTACCCTCCCTCCCAGCCGATCTCTCATTCAGACAACCACCCTCCCTCCCAGCCAGTCACTCATTCAGACAACCACCCTCCCTCCCAGCCAGTCGTCGCTATATAAGTGCAATAATCTTGGACGCGACGTTAAACCCAATTTCACCTCACCCAGCCAGGCACTCATTCAGACAACCACCCTCCCTCCCAGCCAGTCACTCACTCACTTTTCATTCCTTTCATCCATCTAAACAATTAGCCAGCATTGCCCCCACCCACCCACTCACTCACTCACTCTCGTCACGATATGGCTGAAATATTGCCGATGTGACGTTAAATTTCACACACTCACTCACTCACTCACTCATCACTCACTCACTCACATTTTACTATTTCAACAATCTATCTAATTTTTCTTTTCATTCTCTCAATCTTTCTTTCTCTGTTATTTCCTTATGTTTATCTCCCCTTGTTTTGAAATTCTATGACAATCTATTCTATGAGAATTTGTAAACCATGCAGACCAAGACCCATGTTTGTTTGCTTCCATGCTGTTACCCTGTTGTCTTCTATATCCTCATCTCCATCACATCACGTTTTGCTTTCTCCGTTAGCATCACATAAGAACGCGCCGAGCGGTAAGTCCGACAGCAGGTTTTGGCAGCAAGAACCGTTTGTCATTTGTTTGGTGTTTTTGATTTCCGCCAGCGAACCATCCTTCCTTCCTTGTTTAAAATGTGCATCTTTAAGTTTTCCATTATTTCCTGGTCAGCATTTTAACATGACTCCTTGTGAGTTATCGTCAGACACCGTCAGCGCCACCACGGTCAGATTGTACAGTCTCCATTTGGCAAACTCACAACAAACTTTATTGTGGGACTTTCACTCAGTAAAATGTAGTGTTCTGTAAATATTGAGCTGACAGAAACAAGCCATAGTTATTCAAAGATCTGTCACAGTTTTCTTTTCTTCTTACCTGCTTCTAACTGGTTAAAACATACTACCGTATATGACCGTAGATAAGCCAATCTCATAGATAAGCCACCACCGTATAAGACCATAGATAAGCCGTTCTCATAGATAAGCCACCACTGTATATGACCGTAGATAAGCCGTTCTCATAGATAAGCCACCACCGTATATGACCGTAGATAAGCCAATCTCATAGATAAGCCACCACCGTATATGACCGTAGATAAGCCAATCTCATAGATAAGCCACCACCGTATATGACCGTAGATAAGCCAATCTCATAGATAAGCCACCACCGTATATGACCGTAGATAAGCCAATCTCATAGATAAGCCACCACCGTGTATGACCGTAGAAAAGCCGATCTCATAGATAAGCCACCACCGTATATGACCGTAGATAAGCTGATCTCATAGATAAGCCACCACCGTATATGACCGTAGATAAGCTGATCTCATAGATAAGCCACCACCGTATATGACCGTAGATAAGCCGATCTCATTGATAAGCCGAATATTAACTTAGTCCTTGAAATCTGTATCAAAATGTGAGATAAGCGGACCCCCAACCTAAAACTATGTCTCGTCATGATCTGTCATCGGAAATAGACCAGAGCTCCAGATAAGCTGCGTATCTGCGTAAAATACGCATCAGAAATGCAGATAAATGCAGTTAAACAAAATCCAAGCGTATCAAATACGCAACGAACATTACAGATACGCTACAAAAAAAAAACTTGTGCGTATCATCAAAATATTGTGAAGTAACCCTGCGTATTCGATTAGCAAATCAGGACCTTATTTTGAAATTATAAACGGGCATTCCGTCAACCTTGCCAAACTCCACCATGACAGTTACATCATGATCATTTGCCATCACACTTTCTTGTGGAAGTATCGTGGTATTTTTGAGTCCTATAAAGCTCTCGAACCCACACGACACCAGTTTGCAGGGACTAGATGAATATTTAACTTAAATACCCACATGTGTAAAACCAGTGGGTAACAGAAATTTGAATACCCAGATAGAATTACTGATACCCAATGATTTTAAAATGCATGGGTAAAATACCCACAACACCAAAAGCTTATCTGGAGCTCTGTAGACTATCAACAAATCTGTATTGAATTGCACATGTTAATCGTGTCGTTACACCGTCAGTAATAAGAAGTGTTTACTTGTATATCTGGACTCATCTTACTAATCTATGTAATCTATTTTTTTAATTTTGATCAAACTTTCATTCAATTATATTTACATTAGTTCCGGTGTCCATCCCGTACTTACAACTTCCATTTGCCCCCTTCCATAAGATCTGCTTTTCCAACTCACCGTAATTTACAGCGACCAGGATCATATTACCGCTACTGACACCTTAATGTTTGTTACCAACAGAAAAAGAATGTGATGAAAGTGTTACCCATACATAAGCCGACCTCTTTCTACAGAATCTTTTTTCTGGTCTTCAAAATTCGGCTTACGTACGGTCATATACGGAATCAGAAAATATCTTCATCTTGTTAAATATAACAATTGTTTCGCTACATAGAAAAATACAGGCAGGTCATTCAGACAGCAATTTTATTCAGGCCTTAAAATAAGAATTTAAAAATGAAACTTCTATCAGATATGTACAGGTGTTCGCGCATGTGACAGTTTCAGCGCTCGTGTCTGAGTTGTGACACAGTGTGTCCAGACAGCTAAATATGCACATTGCTGTGTAGTCTCTTCAGCCTGTAGGCTGTGTTCAGGGGAGCTGGTGTTAGCATGGTTCTCAGCTGTTCAAGTCAACTCTTTCCTTTTGTTTTTAGTCCCAGAATATTTATTATGAATGCCAATTTTTGTTACGAGCATGGCTATGGAATATTATTTATCATTCTTTTTTTTGTATTTTTGTAGCATTGAATAACATTTTCATGACTCAACATGTAATCTCCCCGTCGTATTCCCCGTTCTTGTTTCAGGCTGCATTTAGTAACTTGTAGTTATTTATCTCATGAAAATAGACATTATTAAGAAGTGAGGACATGATGGGGTAAACAATGTTCACTCACTCACTCACTGAACACGTCACTGATAACTGTAGCTGAAATGTGGCCGACCCATCCTTCAGCAACCCATGCTATGCTCGTCATAACAGGCGACTATGCTCGTCATAACAGGCGACTATGCTTGTCATAACAGGCGACTATGCTTGTCATAACAGGCGACTATGCTTGTCATAACAGGCGACTATGCTCGTCATAACAGGCGACTATGCTCGTCATAACAGGCGACTATGCTCGTCATAACAGGTGACTATGCTTGTCATAACAGGCGACTATGCTTGTCATAACAGGCGACTATGCTCGTCATAACAGGCGACTATGCTTGTCATAACAGGCGACTATGCTTGTCATAACAGGCGACTATGCTTGTCATAACAGGCGACTATGCTCGTCATAACAGGCGACTATGCTTGTCATAACAGGCGACTATGCTTGTCATAACAGGCGACTATGCTCATCATAACAGGCGACTATGCTTGGCGACTACGGGATCGGGTGGTCAGACTCACTGATTTGGTAGATGCATGTCATTGGCTCCAAATTGCTTAGATCCATGCTCATGATATCAATCACTGGATTGTCTGGACCAGACACGATTATTTACAGACCGCCATCACATAGCTGGAATATTGGTGAGTGTGGCGTTAAACAGCAAACAAACAAACTTTATTTTTCTTAAAAAAACAAGATCTTTTTACAAGATCCGGACTGATCATGTAGAGATGTGTGATATTGTGAAAGGGGATTATTGTTGTAAAATAAGAAATTGATTTACACATATCTTTCTTTTCGATACCATTTTAATATTTGATTTCCTCAAATATTTCCATTGGTGTTTCTTATGTTTATAATAAATCACAGGAGATATGTATTGTCAGCTGATAGTGAGTCATGAATGAGTGTTTTCGTGTGTGCCATAATATTCAGGAAAGAAATGTTCTATTTCCGCATGTTTTACTGTTGTAATAATAAGATGTTTAACTTATTAAACCTTGTCTTGAAAATGTGCTACATCCCTCATGACTAATGTCAACCATTTGCATGAACATCTGTTGTCCAATCGTGTCGGTGTCATGTCTGTCCTTGACATTGATACTAGTTACATATTTAATTGCATGTATCTTTTTCTTTGGATCAAATGAATATTGAAGTTATTCTAAAGGTTGTGATAAATATAAACTTAATAAAAAAATTGCTATCCTTAAAATCAATTTTGAAGTCTGTATTCAAAATGAAATGTCTAGAATAAAACAATATTCTTTATTATGCCATATTGTCAATATAAATATACACTTTGTATCAGTTTTCCTTCTTTTCTACAATACAAGGCTTAAAAGTAATTATTTATATGTTATATCAAAGCAATTTAAAATCAGTTTCCTATGTTGGGATCAGTTTCTTGGTTGTAGGTAGTTGTCCTTCTAATAGCATATTTTCAAGAATTGTTTGGTAATGGCTGTGTACCAGTGAAGTGTGTTTGATGACTGATGTGCTTCCCCAGATGTGGACATTGTGTTGATGAGGATGACTATGGTCGGCGTGCTGCTGGCGTTCCGGGGACTGGCGCAGGAGGCTCTCAGAGACGTAAGTGGGCACTGCCGCCACCACTGTGAACATCCGGGTTAGAATTGATCTTCAGCATCCCCTGCTCGTCGTAAGAGGCGACTGTGAGGATTGGGTGGTCAGGCTTGCTCCCTAATGTAGATACTCACGATGTACCAGCTGCTCGTCGTAAGGGGCGACTGTGAGGATTGGGTGGTCAGGCTTGCTCCCCAATGTAGATACTCACGATGTACCAGCTGCTCGTCGTAAGAGGCGACTGAGAGGATTGGGTGGTCAGGCTTGCTCCCCAGTGCGTAGATACTCACGATGTACCAGCTGCTCGTCGTAAGAGGCGACTGTGAGGATTGGGTGGTCAGGCTTGCTCCCCAATGTGTAGATACTCACGATGTACCAGCTGCTCGTCGTAAGAGGCGACAGTGAGGATTGGGTGGTCAGGCTTGCTCCCCAATGTGTAGATACTCACGATGTACCAGCTGCTCGTCGTAAGAGGCGACAGTGAGGATTGGATGGTCAGGCTTGCTCCCCAGTGAGTAGATACTCACGATGTACCAGCTGCTCGTCGTAAGAGGCGACTGTGAGGATTGGATGGTCAGGCTTGCTCCCCAGTGAGTAGATACTCACGATGTACCAGCTGCTCGTCGTAAGAGGCGACTGTGAGGATTGGATGGTCAGGCTTGCTCCCCAATGTGTAGATACTCACGATGTACCAGCTGCTCGTCGTAAGAGGCGACTGTGAGGATTGGATGGTCAGGCTTGCTCCCCAGTGAGTAGATACTCACGATGTACCAGCTGCTCGTCGTAAGGGGCGACAGTGAGGATTGGGTGGTCAGGCTTGCCCCCCAATGTGTAGATACTCACGATGTACCAGCTGCTCGTCGTAAGAGGCGACAGTGAGGATTGGGTGGTCAGGCTTGCCCCCCAATGTGTAGATACTCACGATGTACCAGCTGCTCGTCGTAAGGGGAGACTGTGAGGATTGGGTGGTCAGGCTTGCCCCCCAGTGCGTAGATACTCACAATGTACCAGCTGCTCGTCGTAAGGGGCGACTGTGAGGATTGGGTGGTCAGGCTTTCCCCCCAATGTGTAGATACTCACAATGTACCAGCGATGCACAATACACGTTTATATGCTGCCCCAACTGTGTATGCTTTATCTAATCTGGAATGCTTTGTTAAAAACAATTGAACCTATACAATGAGATGTAGATTTGGGTTTTGAAAATCACTTTTTTTTATATTCCTGTGATATTGGACTGAAACTTTACTGAAATGTAACATCGTTTTCTTTCTTTTTGATGATGGCGTGAAACAATTAGTTGACGTCTCTTGCCAAAATGATTTAATTTCACCTACTTTTGCTTGTGTTTGTGATGGGTGCCACCGGTGGGGCAGGGTACGCTCACCTTTTCGCGAACACCTGGTATCATCACTATTTGATAGTCATTCATAAACATATAACAAATGTTATATTTGGGATAACACTTTCTTAGTAAAGTACAGATTCTAGCACGTTTTTGGTTTTAGTCCCATCAGGGATTCAAACCCACACTGCCACAGTGAGACAACTAATCACCATTCATAAACTCATGATATAGTCGAAACCGTACAATTAACACTTTCAGTTGAGTGAGTGAGTGAGTTTGGTTTTACGCCGCTTTTAGCAATATTCCAGCAATATCACGGCGGGGGACACCAGAAATGGGCCTCACACATTGTACCCATGTCGGGATTCGAACCCGGGTCTTCGGCGTGACGAGTGAACGCTTTAACCACTAGGCTACCCGACCGCCCCCTTTCAGTTGAGAATTCTTATGACTATGGGGGCGGTCGGGTAGCCTAGTGGTTAAAGCGTTCGCTCGTCACGCCGAAGACCTTATGACTATGGAAAGGGCTTTGTGGCTTTTATTTAAAGATGGCTGATGTGGAATTAAGCAATAGTCTGCTCTCACTGACTGACTGCTGTTGTTCTTCAGGTGTTGGGAGACCGCATCCCCTTCCTGATGGGCTCGGTGAAGGACCTCCACCATTACGTGCCCAACACGAAGGATGCCATGGTAGGTGATCCTTCTCACTCTGTCCTGCCTTCAGTGCCTGGAGTTATTGGAACACTTTATCACATTTATTTGGGGCAATTTATTTTGACTCCCTATCACCTGATTTAACTATGGCTATTATGACAGCTGTCATTTTACGTTCATAGTTTTAGTTCTGTCGCTCCTTGTCTGGAATAGTGAATGATTGTGATGTTGGATTGTTCTCAATAGAAACTTCTGAGAGGAGGATGCTAATCAAATGTCCGTGAATTTCATCACTGCAGTAGAGGAATAAGGACTTGATAAGGAACAAATAAGGAATCAATATGATTTCCAGGTCACATTGACAGTTCACAAATGAAAGTTATGGTTGTGTTAACTTGCAGTGGTAACTGTAATCATGTAAAAATGTTTTTGTGATAAATAAAGGCGATATTGATTCAGACTGAATGGCTTTATAGACTTCAGATCAATCTACAGGGTACCCAATAAGCCTAAACTCTGATCTTAGTTCTCGCTATGCTACTGCTACTGAAAGATCTGAAGACATCCCCTTATAGGTCAAATCAGACCGACCTTTCAAGAACTTTGATCAACCAATGAAAATGACTAACAGGAAGTCGACGTCATCCAATCAGAAAGCTGCTTTCTCGATCTTTATGACACTAGTTTCAAAATGGCAACTTCCATTCCATGGTAGTGAACACTAAGACCTGACAACACACCATGTGTATAGGCAGACCAAGGAGGCTTGATGCTGTTTTATTGTGTATAAATGTGTCAAACCCCAGACGTTTACCCATTTATTTTCAAGGAGGAAAAAACATAATTATGTATCTTGAGAAGACCTGTCGGTCCAGTCTTTAATCAAATTAGACACCAGTAGACTTTAAATCTTCAAAGAAAAACTGAAGTATTGATTAATGTGCTTCTGAAAAAACTCATTAGATCAAAAAAGAAAATGGTTACAGTTACTTTTGCCTTGAATATCTTTTGGTGTTTACTTAAATAACGATTGCCGTTTTATCTGGACTTTCAAGCCAAGAAACAGATGCCTGGCCGTCTTATATGTCTTTAACACTTCAACAATACGTAATAAGATTTATAAAAATATATATCTTAGTTCTATACCCTGTGAAAGTTTTTTTCTCAAAATAATGGCTAAAACATTTAAAATGCTGCAGCAGTGTTACCTCCGTAGCAACAGAGTTACTCCCCCTGACCTTGTAGCCTCCAAGCTCCTTCGCAGTGTGTGACACCTTTGTTACACTCTCGGTAACATCGCTGCCACCAGTTGGGGCGCGGTCGTTACAAGAATCTTGAAATTTGCCCTCTAACCCCCAAAGGAAGTAACGTGTATACTTTTGTTTATGTCCTTGCGAATGCCATCATAGTTATTTTTTAAAAGGTTTACGACTGACCATATTTCCAAGATGAATTTACCTTTTGGTTTGTTTGATTACTGTAGATTGGGTCGAGATTGCAGACGAATGGAAAATCAAACAGCTTGCCCCTTACACTCTTACTATACCTATTACATGATAGCTGGCATGAAACAGAGATTCAAATTGACAAACAAAGAAAATAATAAAGCAGGGGTAAGAGTATTCGAGTCACGGCAGTCTTCACGGTCAGTCGGTTGTGAGTTCAACTCCAAGCATGGTTGTAGCCACCTATCACAGGGGGGAACTTTTACTGGTGGCAGCGATAGTTTTGAGAGCTCCGCAAACAGGCTATCACTGTGAGGAGCCTGAGTAGCCTCCTGCCTTCCTCCCAGCCAATCAGAAACATCGATTCTTTAAATTTGGGGAAGGTATATTCTAATGTTTAATTCCTTGCTGCAGCCTGCCTCTTTGAAAATCCAGGTTTGTTCAAATCCTACTGAGTGTTTTGGAGTGTGACGTTTGGTTTTTGTATTCTTTGACTCTTCAGTTATCCTCATTGCTCAACCACTGTGGAACATTACTCGACTTTATTCTAGTTGGTTTAAGTGTTTTGTTTTTTAGTTTGATTACAAATTATGATTTCGTATTCTCATTGTCATTTATGAATAACTTGGTTTTCTTCCAGTTTTGCATGACCTTGACCTTGTTACTATCACATGGCTGTTGTATTATGGGTAGAAAGATGAATGTATCTAACGGTAGTGACTATCATGTGTGATGGGTAGAAACATGAATGTGTCTAATGGTATTTAGTCCTGTTGTATATAATATGACGTTAAACCATCTTCTATTTCTCCAGAGCTCACATTTCGGTAAAGCTACATTAACCCCAGCATGCATCACCGTGGTTCTCCTGATCTCAAGTTACCTGCCCTTGATTTTCATTTACATTTTACCGACCAATCAATCTTTAAGGTAATGAAAAAGGAAATGGGTAAGGGAGGTAACTCTTATTGCCTAGAAATCAAAGCCACCACCAGTACTAATGGACATGAAGATGTCCTTTCCATCTAAAGTTTTTGAGGCTTTCTTTTGCCTGTGAGTTTTTCAATGTTGATTTCTTGCAAACTCTATCCTAAATAATGTGACTGCCCTCTGTGGCCAACACATCATTGAGGCTGGTTTGTAACTCAAATTCTGATTGGTCCGTTAGCCTTAGTAGCTTAGCCAATCAAATTGGATAATGAAAATCAATGGCAGGTAATTTGAGATCGCAATAACCACAGGAATGGATCCATGGATGAGTGTAGGTTTACTGCCATGCGAGCCCTGGAGATGTAGAGGATGATAGTAAACTTACAACCCCACATAACTGTTGTTAGCTCACCTGATCTAGGGACCGTCATTTGGTGTTGTTATTTGGATGTCGTGAGTGTCTTTAAGTAGTGTCTCAGATAGAAAGATCACAAATTTGCCTAGAGACAGTGGTAAAAGACTGGAATTGGCTAAATGTACTGCTCTCAAAGTACTTCACTGGCAGGTGACTGACTAACTGTAGTTTTAATGTATTTTGTCATGTTGTTTGCGTATCAATGAATTTGCGTTTTAGAAATGATCTTCAGCAACCCATGCTTGTCGTAAGAGGCAACTAACAGGATTGGAGGGACAGGCTCCTTGACTTGGTTGATGCATGTCATTGTATTGCAATGATGTAGATCGATGCTCATGATGTCAGTTACTGGATTGTCTGGTCCAGACTCGATTATTTACAGGCCAGCCTCATATAGTTGGAATACTGCTGAGTGCGGCATTTTAACAACTAAATGGATCAGGATGTCATACTTGGTTGTTTGTACCGGACAGTGTTGGACGCTTCATATCAATCATTGTTTTGTTCCGTTTATATTCAGGTCTCTGTTACAAAGCTGGAATAATGTAGCTTTAAACAACAAACAAACAAATGTGAGGACATTTGGCTAAATAGATGCACCATCTGCTCGTTATAAAAGACGACTAAATGTATATTTGATGGTAACAATGTTTGACCTGACTATGTGTTACTAGATTAATGATTTGATGACTACAATGGTGCTTGAAGTAGTTACTTGTTGGTACCAATACGGAATTGATGATACTGAGATGAGTCAGACTGTGCATGTATGCCAACAGCAGGTAGACACTAGGATTGTAATCAATACAGCTAATTATGGACCAGTGTTGTGTACAAAACTGCATTTTGGTGGAAACGGACTGTCATTCCTGCTTGGCCCAGTCAGTAGACTTGGGGCCATGTCTAATCTCGACCGTGTCTCCATCAGTATTTTGTCAACTGTTGTCACTAAGGGCTGATGGCTAGGTCAACTGAGGCGCTACAGATGTTGACATGCCATGATCCTATCCTATATTGTCCAGAATAAAATCGATGGTTTGCCAGCACCTGCGCTAATGGTAAACTTCTCAAGCCAGTGTCACGTCTCTTTAATTGGCGTAGAACACAACTCACTAGACTAACACTCGGTCTAGGAAAATGTATCATTGTTATGGAACCATGTAAATTGAAAAGGAGCCCCAGTGAGATGGGGGATTCTAGACTTGCTTCATATAGGGCTATAGCATTACAGTAAGGGCTGGATGAAAGGGAAATAATATGGTTCAGGGACTGAGCAGACTAACAACTCCCTTTAGTTCACCATTGGGTCTAGACATCCCCAGGGTAAATGTGGGAAGACCACAGCCAACACTAAACCGTGGAGACCAGTAGTCACATGATTAGTCACTGCAACTTTCACGACACTGTAAGTGACAGACCCAACTAACTCACTCTGATTATAGAAACACGACAAAAGCAAGGTATGTGCAGCTATTTTACAACATCAACGTCATATTCATATCATCCTCTCCTGCTGTGTCTGTCTGCCTCATGTCGCGTCTGCTTCATGTCGCGTCTGCCTCATGTCGCGTCTGCCTCATGTCGTGTCTGCCTCATGGCATGTCTGCCTCTTGTTCCGTCTGCCTCATGTCGCGTCTGCCTCATGTCGCGTCTGCCTCATGTCGCGTCTGCCTCATGTCGTGTCTGCCTCATGGCATGTCTGCCTCTTGTTCCGTCTGCCTCATGTCGTGTCTGCCTCATGTCGCGTCTGCCTCTTGTTCCGTCTGCCTCTTGTTCCGTCTGCCTCTACCTTGAGAGTTGGTAAAGACCCATTTGTCGAGGAGACTGCAGGTTTTTATGAGCCAGTGTGTAGCAGACATACCATTAAATGTCGCCAGACATCTTTGTAAACTTGTTTCAGGTTAATCATAAATATATTTATTTATATATGTCAGTAGAATGTGTAGTGATTAATCAATTCTGATGTTAGTGTCACACTATTACCAAAGGTTACCATGTTTACATCTCCATGAGATCCAGGAAGATCCAGGTTAGAGATGATCTTCAGCTTCCCAACGGGATTGGGTGGTCAGACTCGTTGACTTGCTTGAAGCATGTGACAGTATCCCAATTTCGTGCATTGATGCTCATGATATAAATCTCTAGATTGTCTGGTCCAGGCATGATTATTTACAGATCACCATCAAATAGCTGGAATATTGCTGGAGTGGGACGTTTAACAAGAAACAAACAAACGAAATCTCCATGAAAACTCAATTGGCCCCTTGGAAAATATATAGCTTAAATATGTACCTCCATATGTTTTCTGCTGACATAGTCTCTCCTGCTTGTGATCACTCACCATTCTACAACCTGATGCTATCCTTGAGATGTAGCACTTTACTCTACAACAATCCCCTCAGTGTTTGGCTTCTCTCTCACGGCAAGCTGATAGCCATGCTGTAACTGAAATACTGGCTGAAAAAGAATTGCATCTAACTCACTCACTCAATATTTTTAAATCAAGCAATGTGATACTCTCAGTTGCTTTTTCCAGCACTGACAAACTCTACTCATGATAATATCCCTCCAAGTGATCTTCAAGCTGTAATGCTAGAACTTCCAAACACCTGGTGTCCAGCTTGTGTTTCATTGGAATCAAGCTAGGAATGCTAGAACTTCCAAACACCTGGTGTCTGCCTTGTGTTTCATTGGAATCAAGCGAGGAATGCTAGAACTTCCAAACACCCGGTGTCCGGCTTGTGTTTCATTGGAATCAAGCGAGTAATGCTAGAACTTCCAAACACCTGGTGTCCGGCTTGTGTTTCATTGGAATCAAGGGAGTAATGCTAGAACTTCAAAACACCCGGTGTCCGGCTTGTGTTTCATTGGAATCAAGCGAGGAATGCTAGAACTTCCAAACACCCGGTGTCCGGCTTGTGTTTCATTGGAATCAAGCGAGTAATGCTAGAACTTCCAAACACTAACATTGACTGATGGTAATGTAGCACTGTGATCGCTTTGTGGAATGGGACTTTGGTGACAAGATTGCTGTACATGTGTGATGTCACAATGTTAAACATCGACACCTGGTGTCCAGCATGTGTTTTATTGGAGTCAAGGGAGCCCATGCTTTGGGGTTTCTGTGAATGTGTTGTGATGAAAATACCACTTAACGCTGTTAACCCCATTGGGTATCAACAATATTTGAGTAATTTGTAGACATGGTGTGACGATTCAACAAGACCCGTGAAGATCCGGGGTAGAATAGGTCTTCAGCAACCCAAGCTTGCTGTAAATGGGGCCTATGCTTGTCATAAGAGGCGACTAATAGGATTGGGTGGTCAGGCTCACTGAGTTGGTTGAAGCATGTCATCGTATCCCAATTGCGTGGATCGATGGTCATGATGTCAATCACTGGATTATCTGGTCCAGATTTGATTATTTTCAGATCACCTGCATATAGCTGGAATATTGCTGAGTGCGGCGTTAAACAACAAACAAACCAAAACAAAATGATTCAACGATGCATAGATGCATTCTCAAGAATTATATGTACCCCGGTACCACCGTCCTGCCATTCCCATGTCCAAATTGTACCATGATGTCCGGACAGAGTACTGTCACTTGTCTCCGGGTACAAGAAGCAGGATGCACATTTCATCATTGCATATTACATCGCAGTAACTAGCTCACCGAAACACTACATAGCTTCATCGCTGTGTATTTCAGTACATTGTCACATTGTTTCACTACATTATCTGCACATCGGAGGGACTATAGAATTATAATGTTTAAGAATGTAGCTCAGATGGAGTCGTTCATTCTATTTTTTCACATATATTTGTTGTCTTAAAATAACAGCATCTTAAATAACATTAATAGAAGATAATTTTTTTAAACTGTTATTTGAAAATGTAAATAAATTCATTTAGTTTTAGCTCATTTTGATAAAGTCAGTGTGAGCTTATGTATTGGGTCCATGAACATTTGCGGGCGGTCGGGGAGCCTGGTGGTTAAAGCGATCGCTCGTCACGCCGAAGACCCGGGTTCAATTCCCGACATGGGTACATTGTGTGAGACCCATTTCTGGTGTACCCCGCCGTGATATTGCTGGAATATTGCTAAAGTGGCGTAAATCCATACTCACTCACTCTCTCTGATTTCGCCTGTCTGTCCATTTTCACTGACCCAAGAACTCTTCTCAACAAAAGTATTTTCAGGGTCAGTATGAACATTTGTTGGTAATTTCCTGATTTCCATGAGTCTTTACTTGTCACCTCCCACCACACATTCATGTAACCAGACACTCCTCCCATGCCTACACCTGTGTCCTTTCTAGAATTACTTTTTCAAGTTACCATCCTTATCAACTTTGGTATATATTATGGAACTGTTGCACCAACAGAAACTACCAGACCAATGACCAAAGCTTGAATAATGTTCCTTTGTTATTCAAAATAGTATTTGAAAAATGAAAATTTGTGACAAATATGAACTTTATTTAAAAGAATACCTGTTGAATTTGGGCAGATTGTGTCATTGTAAATTGGAATATTAAAGTAAATTGGAATATTTTGTGCCTGTAACAATTTGAACAAAACATTTATGGGGATTAGGAGAGTCTTTATGGTTCATAGTATTGTAGAGAAATATAAACTAGTTATTTAGGCTAAAAAATATAATAGTCTTGGTTCTCTGGCACCGCCCGCATCATCATAAAGTTCCTGCACATTTTGTTTTTATTTTCATTATATAAAACAAGCAAAAAAATCCTTAAATATTCCAAGTCCGGCGTTAGTCAAAGACTGTATTCCAGTATTTTACTCATCAAGGAATACATTTATGTAGGGAGGCCCTTTCACAGGGTGATTTTACACAACTGTTTATTTGGTTACACAGCTGTTTATTTGGTTACGTACTAGTAGAAAAAATACACGGCCCGCCTGCACTATATTTTCAAAAGCCATTGCCTGAGACCCAATTCTTTAATTTGTTCAAGCCTTAAGGTAAGGGGCTACTTGCATGAAACAGTTGTAGTGCTGTAACTATCGTAATGCGCATACTTCACGTAGGCATGATAGACTTACAACAGACATAGCCTGATAGTTTTGTGGGCCGAGGACAACATACTGCTTAGCACAACAGGAGGATTTCCTTGTGGAGTAGTGTATGAACATCAGCATGATATCACTGACAAATTATACATGTTATACGTAGGTCGTCAACGAGTTGGCGTCTTCTGCTGGCCTGACGTGTGCCGTCGATCCCACCCTCTGCAATGCCCTCCGTACTCTCAAGTCAGGTGAGACTACACTACCTTTGTTGTTTGAGTGTCCATTTTGTTGTAGGCGCCACAATTTTATGTAAAGAGTTACATCCCTTAAGCATGCCAGAATCCTATGATTGTTGTTTGAATTCCAAATTTGCCCTGAATTGGAGTTACATCGCATAGTCATACGAAAGCTTGTAGGTTTCACTAAAGAAGTAAATAGCTGCAGCACTTCTGGCCTTCTTCCCATATTAAGCCGCCATGATATTACTAAAATACTGTGTCAAAGTACTTTTGTTCTTTATTGGTTCTACCCGTGAAGAGCCGGGTTAGAACAGATTTTCTGCAATCCATGCTTGCCGTAAGAAGCGACTATGCTTGTCGTAAGTTGCGACTAACGGGATCGATGGTCAGGCTTGCTGACTTGGTTGATGCATGTCATCTTTTCCTAGATCGATGTTCACTGGATTGTCTGGTCCAGACTCGCTAATTTACAGACCGCCTTCCTATAGCTGGAATTTTGCTGAGTGTGGGGTTAAACAACAATCAAACAAAACAAACAAATTTTGTAAATTAATTTTGTAATAACCTAAGTACGACTTGGTGACTCGCTGACTTGGTTGACACATGTCATCGTATCCCAATTACACACATCAATTGTCATGCCATAATATAACTTGAATATTGGTGATTGCGGCATTAACAAACAAACAAACACACTCACTCACTCTCTGTGTTGCAGAGCATGCGGAGGATGAGTACACGCTGGCCTGTCTACTCATGGTGTTTATTGCCGTGTCAATTCCCAAACTGGCCAAGGGAGATGCAGCCAAGTACAGGGCTCACTTAGAAGGTCAGTGAACTCTCACTTCATGTCTATCTACAAGTTTTAGTGGGGGGGGACAGGGATGACCCCGGCATCACGACTCTAACAATCTGTAAATATCCTATCTCAAACTATGTGTTAAGATAGAAGACCACTTAAGTTGTAACGTCGACTTAAACAATCTTTTATTGGATCACATCTATTGCATGTTCTCGAAATCTGTTCAAAAAAGTTTTAACTTTGCCTGTAGTTTAGGACAACCAGACAGAGATGAGACTGATATGTGAGGCCCACATAGTTTTTGCCAACAGTGTCTAAATGTACTTACCTGTTCTAAGCCTTTTAGGTCGACAGTCATACTGCATAGCTAAACTGTTAGATATGAACTATATCTGTCTCTCAGGCCACCGAAACAACAGCCACTGCTTAGCCAAGGGCATCAACTCCCTGGCTGGAGCACTGTTCACCATCTACGGCCCCGGAGACGTTGAGGACAGACTGAAGGAATTCCTTGCAGTAAGTCTCTGTGCACTGTCATCTCATGTTTTGCATCACTTCAGGCAATAGCTGTTTGTTTTATCTGTTTGCAGATCCCCTGACCCTTATAAGATGAAAATACTTTCTTTTCTTGTTCTACATTGTCTGATAGGATTTGAATCATGTCTGTTGAAGTCAGTGAAAATCTGAATCACCAGTGTGGTGTCTCCCATTGTTACATGGCTCACTCACAAATGAAGGAAACGAACGAACGAACGAACGACATGTTGTTGACACTGTGTGATGGCATCACTCTGACGTCTGATTCAGCTGGCATCCTCAAGCCTGCTGCGTCTGGGCCAGGAGCAGGACAAGGAGTCCATCAAACAGAGAGAGTCGGTCTACCTCCTGCTGGACCTGGTATGTACCCTTACCCCTTATATACCCCGTGTGCATCTCTCTCAATACTTGGAATCCATAAAACTGACCAAATGTACCACATTTCCCTTATCATTAGGTCCCCAGCACCCAAGTTTGTCTCCATGTAGGTATTCCTGGTCAGAACAGGTCCCCAACACCTCATGCTTGATTTCCTTTAGGTATTCCTGGTCAGAACAGGTCCCCAACACCTCATGCTTGATTTCCTTTAGGTATTCCTGGTCAGAACAGGTCCCCAGTACCTCATGCTTGTCTCCATGTAGGTATTCCTGGTCAGAACAGGTCCCCAGTACCTCATGCTTGACTTCCTGTAGGTATTCAGAGACAGAACAGGTCCCCAGTACCTCAAGCTTGACTTCCTGTATGTATTCCTGGTCAGAACCGGTCCCCAGTACCTCATGCTTGACTTCCTGTAGGTATTCTGAGACAGAACAGGTCCCCAGTACCTCATGCTTGACTTCCTGTAGGAATTCCTGGTCAGAACAGGTCCCCAGTACCTCATGCTTGTCTCCATGTAGGTATTCCTGGTCAGAACAGGTCTCCAGTACCCCATGCTTGACTTCCTGTATGTATTCCTGGTCAGAACAGGTCCCCAGTACCTCCTGCTTGATTTCCTTTAGGTATTCCTGGTCAGAACAGGTCCCCAGTACCTCATGCTTGATTTCCTGTATGTATTCTGGTCAGAACAGGTCCCCAGTACCTGATGCTGGACTTCCTGTATGTATTCCTTGTCACAACAGGTCCCCAGTACCTGATGCTAGACTTCCTGTAGGTATTCCTGGTCAGAACAGGTCCCCAGTACCTCATGCTTGACTTCCTGTAGGTATTCCTGGTCAGAACAGGTCCCAAGTACCTGATACTCGACTTCCTGTAGGTATTCCTGGTCAGAACAGGCCCCCAGTACCTGATGCTTGACTTCCTGTAGGTATTCCTGGTCAGAACAGGTCCCCAGTACCTCATGCTTGTCTCCATGTAGGTATTCCTGGTCAGAACAGGTCTCCAGTACCCCATGCTTGACTTCCTGTAGGCATTCAGAGACAGAACAGGTCCCCAGTACCTCATGCTTGATTTCCTGTAGGTATTCCTGGTCAGAACAGGTCCCCAGTACCTCATGCTTGTCTCCATGTAGGTATTCCTGGTCAGAACAGGTCTCCAGTACCCCATGCTTGACTTCCTGTAGGCATTCAGAGACAGAACAGGTCCCCAGTACCTCATGCTTGATTTCCTGTAGGTATTCCTGGTCAGAACAGGTCCCCAGTACCTCATGCTTGACTTCCTGTAGGTATTCCTGGTCAGAACAGGTCCCCAGTACCTCATGCTTGACTTCCAGTATGTTTTCCTGGTCAGAACAGGTCCCCAGTACCTCATGCTTGTCTCCATGTAGGTATTCCTGGTCAGAACAGGTTCCCAGTACCTCATGCTTGACTTCCTGTAGGTATTCCTGGTCAGAACAGGTCCCCAGTACCTCATGCTTGACTTCCTGTTGGTATTCCTGGCCAGAACAGGTCCCCAGTACCTGATGCTTGACTTCCTGTAGGTATTCCTGGTCAGAACAGGTCCCCAGTACCTGATGCTTGACTTCCTGTAGGTATTCCTGGTCAGAACAGGTCCCCAGTACCTGATGCTTGACTTCCTGTAGGTATTCCTGGTCAGAACAGGTCTCCAGTACCCCATGCTTGACTTCCTGTAGGAATTCCTGGTCAGAACAGGTCCCCAGTACCTCGTGCTTGACTTCCTGTAGGTATTCCTGGTCAGAACAGGGCCCGAGCACCTCATGCTTGATTTCCTGTAGGTATTCCTGGTCAGAACAGGTCCCCAGTGCCCCATGCTTGACTTCCTGTATGTATTCTGGTCAGAACAGGTCCCCAGTACCTGATGCTTGACTTCCTGTAGGTATTCCTTGTCAGAACAGGTCCCCAGTACCTGATGCTTGACTTCCTGTAGGTATTCCTTGTCAGAACAGGTCCCCAGTAACTCATGCTTGACTTCCTGTATGTATTCCTGGTCAGAACAGGCCCCCAATACCTCATGCTTGACTTCCTGTAGGTATTCCTGGTCAGAACAGGCCCTCAGTACCTCATGCTTGACTTCCTGTATGTATCCCTGGTCAGAACAGGTCCCCAGTACCTCATGCTTGACTTCCTGTAGGAATTCCTGGTCAGAACAGGTCCCCAGTACCTCATGTTTGACTTCCTGTAGGAATTCCTGGTCAGAACAGGTCCCCAGTACCTCATGCTTGACTTCCTGTATGTATCCCTGGTCAGAACAGGTCCCCAGTACCTCATGCTTGATTTCCTGTAGGTATTCCTGGTCAGAACAGGTCCCCAGTACCTCATGCTTGACTTCCTGTATGTATTCCTGGTCAGAACAGGTCCCCAGTACCTGATGCTTGACTTCCTGTAGGTATTCCTGGTCAGAACAGGTCCCCAGTACCTCATGCTTGACTTCCTGTAGGTATTCCTGGTCAGAACAGGTCCCCAGTACCTCATGCTTGACTTGCTGTTGGTATTCCTGGCCAGAACAGGTCCCCAATACCTCATGCTTGACTTCCTGTAGGTATTCCTGGTCAGAACAGGCCCCCAGTACCTCATGCTTGACTTCCTGTATGTATTCCTGGTCAGAACAGGTCCCCAGTACCTCATGCTTGACTTCCTGTAGGTATTCCTGGTCAGAACAGGTCCCCAGTTCCTCATGCTTGACTTCCTGTAGGTATTCCTGGTCAGAACAGGCCCCCAGTACCTCATGCTTGACTTCCTGTATGTATTCCTGGTCAGAACAGGTCCCCAGTACCTCATGCTTGACTTCCTGTAGGTATTCCTGGTCAGAACAGGTCCCCAGTTCCTCATGCTTGACTTCCTGTAGGTATTCCTGGTCAGAACAGGCCCCCAGTACCTCATGCTTGACTTCCTGTATGTATTCCTGGTCAGAACAGGTCCCCAGTACCTCATGCTTGACTTCCTGTATGTATTCCTGGTCAGAACAGGTCCCCAGTACCTGATGCTTGACTTCCTGTAGGTATTCCTGGTCAGAACAGGTCCCCAGTACCTGATGCTTGACTTCCTGTAGGTATTCCTGGTCAGAACAGGTCCCCAGTACCTGATGCTTGACTTCCTGTAGGTATTCCTGGTCAGAACAGGTCCCCAGTACCTCATGCTTGATTTCCTATAGGTATTCCTGGTCAGAACCTGATGCTTGTCTTCCTGTAGGTATTCAGAGACAGAGCAGGTCCCAAGTACCTCATGCTTGACTACCTGTAGGTATTCCTGGTCAGAACAGGTCCCCAGTACCTCATGCTTGTCTCCATGTAGGTATTCCTGGTCAGAACAGGTCTCCAGTACCCCATGCTTGACTTCCTGTAGGCATTCAGAGACAGAACAGGTCCCCAGTACCTCATGCTTGCTTTCCTGTTTGTATTCCTGGTCAGAACAGGTCCCCAGTACCTCATGCTTGATTTTCTGTAAGTATTCCTGGTCAAAACAGGTCCCCAGTACCTCATGCTTGACTTCCTGTAGGTATTCCTGGTCAGAACCTGATGCTTGACTTCCTGTAGGTATTCCTGGTCAGAACAGGTCCCCAGTAGCTCATGCTTGATTTCCTGTAGGTATTCAGAGACAGAACAGGTCCCCAGCAGTCCATGCTTGTCTCCCTTTGTTGGGATTCAGGGGCAACTTGAAGAGTATTTTTTAACCGTTTCATGTGTTGTAACTATGGTTTGTTTTTCTCTTTACTGTAAACTGCTGTAATGAAAATATTTTGTTCCAGATTGTCCAAGAATCACCATTCCTGACAATGGATCTGCTAGAGTCATGCTTCCCCTACGCCTTGTTGAGAAATGCCTATCATTCTGTGTACAAGATGTCTGCCGGCGACAACTGATTTGTTCCACCTACCACTCTGTAAATGAGATTTCAGCAGGAGATAACTCTGCGTACCACTCTGATTACAAGATGTTATCAGGAGATAACTGATTTATTCTACCTACAGCTCTGACTACAAGATGTTATCAGCAGAGAACTGATTTATTCTGCATATCACTCTGTATGCAAGGTGTTTTCAGGAGACAATCAATATAAGGTAGATGAATAAAGAAATATTTGAAAAGTGGACCAAGATATATGGGACTGAGAAAAATTCAATAGTTCAGGATAGCAGAGCATTTCAGAAATTGTCGGGATAGGTCTTCTCCCCAGCTCAGGAACCAATCAAAATCTGAATGGTCGTAAAATTTGGGGTTTAGATCCATATTTCTTTGATTCCATATTTATATTCTATCCAGTGTGGATTGCAGCAGCTTGAATGTATATATGGAATGCTGATAGTGTCTTGGGTGTTGGTCCATCCAGTCACAGGTTGGATGACTTGTCCCTTGTCCTGGATGACAGTCTGTTACCTGGGATGTATGAACAAGCTGTTGAAGACTTTTAATGGGGAGATTACTATCATAGTCAATCAACATTGCGGTGGACAAATTCTTGTTTATTCTGCGGAAAGTCTGCAACACAGATAGTTAAACTCCTAGGATACAGGCGATTTCATGTCTAGAGCTCAGGTGGTTAGACATCTTGAGCTCAGGCGATTTCATGTCAAGAGCTCAGGTGGTTAGACGTCCGGAGCTCAAGCGATTTCATGTCTAGAGCTCAGGTGGTTAGACGTCCGGAGCTCAGGTGATTTCATGTATGGAGCTCAGGTGATTTCATGTCTGGTGCTCAGATGGTTTCAGATCTGGAGCTCAGATGGTTTCAGGTCTGGAGCTCAGATGGTTTCACATCGAGCTCAGATTGTTTCAAGTCTGGAGCTCAGATTGTTTCTCGTCTGGAGCTCAGGTGATTTCATGTCTGGAGCTCAGATGGTTTCAGGTCCGGAGCTCAGATGGTTTCAGGTCTGGAGCTCAGGTGGTTTCACATCGAGCTCAGATTGTTTCACGTCTAGAGCTCAGGTGGTTATGTCAAGATTAGACCAAGATCAGGGAGTGATTTTAGTTGACATATGTTAGTGTGAGGTGTTAAGTGTTTGACAAGTACTAGTGTTTGGTAAGAAGCCCACCTTTGGTTTAGAAGAGACTTAACAGATTGACCCTAGTCCCACTATTTGTGCGATGATAGGAGCTGGACAATTTAGAATATGTTGAAGTAATATGAATAATAATGTTCATAATTGGTCAAAATATTATGAAGGATTTTCACAGCTGTATTATTTCACCAACTCATGTCATAATGCACTACTTCAGACACAGTAGACTTGTCTTGTAAGCAAACTTATTTCGTGCATTTGTATTTGTATCGAGTTGTTATTTCTTCATGAGTTGCCTCCCTTAGCTGCTAGGATCCACTTGTGGGTTTGAATCCCAGTTTGGCCTGATGATGACACTACGTCTGTCTGCATCAACCTAATTCATGTGGGTTTCACCAAAGTGTTAAGATTTCTACAAAGTTCATCACTTTGGGCCTCACAGTCATTGCCTCCAGCACCAGCTGAACATGGAGTGATGGCAATGCAATGTTCATACAGACATGGGAACACCAAAATTCAAGGCCTTTTCAAGGCTTTTATATATTAATCAGACATGAAAAGCAGTACGAAATTTCCAACAAGATTTATTTTCACAACCAACAAATAAAGTATTAAGTCTTGAATTTTGATACTTTAATAAACAAGTGTATGACATTTTGTACAAATGTAAAGCTTTTAAAGCTATTTGGTGATTTTTAAGGCTTTCAAGGTTTACAATGAAATCAAGGCATTTCAAGAGGGACCTTAAACTTCAAGGTCTGTTAAAGCCTGTCTGATCATTGCAATATGTCAATATCCTATATTTCATTTATGAACAAGATCATCAAGGATGTTAATAATATGCCAGTACTATTACAGCAACATTTTGAATTGTGTACTTTATAAAACATGCCATCTTCCCAAGGCAAGGGAGTTAACTGACCTGCTGGTATTCTGGAGTTACATTTTGGCTGGACTAACGAGTCTATGCATAGTCCAATCAAAATCGTTGATCGAAATCGAAATCCAGTTCGTAAACTGTCCTGCAGATTTCGGTCGATTGCAGGATTTGCAAAGCATGTGAACCGCCAACTCGTTGTCAACAGATATTTTCCAAATCTTTTCATGTTTTTAATCAAGGTGCTCACGCATTGCGAGATGTAAGACCTGTTTTATCACAACATAGACCTTGATTATCGATCAGATCGTCTTGACTGGGCACCACTGTTTTGTTTCAAGCAAATGCAAGTGATACGAGAGGTGGAATCTGATTGGTCTAAAGGAGAGGCTCAGAAGGGACATAGCTCGTAATAGCCACTGGTGGCGCTGCGATAGAGCCCATGAATACCAGCCTAGTTCGGCAAGGGTGGAAACTGGACTTTTAAAGTCAGTTAACTCTCTAGCCTCGGGAAGATGAAAACATGCATGATGCAAACGTCTGTTAAACAGACACATACATAACACCTTGCTGTTTGTCATCACACTAAAACATAGCTTTGCATTTTGAAGTCATTTCTTGTCTTAGTTTTCATGTGTATGCTTGCATTTATTTATTTTGCGATAACGCTTGTCCCTGAATAAGTCCACAGCTCTATTTATGTGGAAATGTTTATTTGTAAGGACAGATTATTATTTCTAACAATGAAACAAGAATTTAAGAAAATCTGCTACAGAACTTTTACCAGCAGATTCTTTCAGGGACTCGAGTTGTTCTCATCACATCTAGGGCTGGGACGAGTCCAAATGTATTACCTGGGTACCCACCCACCTATTCCACGACCCTACCCGGGTACCTGCTGTAGGTCACAAGAGATAGGTACAAATGTCCGATTGGGAATAGTTTGACTGTAGCTCTGGACAAAATGTGTTTAGATGCTGGTCATGCATACACTGATGTTGACTGAAGTTTTATCTTTATTCAAACATATATAAGCCTGGGTGCATAGTCAGAAAGAAATGGGAACATTAGTGACTTGTAGTGTAACCATTTGGTTTAAGAACATTTTTGGCATTAAACAAGGTATCACATGACCAACCATGGGTTCGGGTAGTTCTGTGGGTACCCAGGTCCTTCTCAGTACCCACCCGACCCGAGTACCCGTCCCGAGTTCCCGTCCCAGCCCTAATCACATCCTTTACACCTTTGTCTTGCCAGCCTCTCTGTTATAGATCTGTTTCCCTGCTGTGAAGATAGAGCAACACGATTCAACTCTCGTTTTGCATGATGGCCAAGTTATTTATAATATAGATCCCTTTCTTTATCGGTATTATTTGTGGTAAAGCATTTCTGAGTTTACCGCGCAGTTTTGTTAAAAAACTCAGTAAAATATTAATAAATTTGAAATATATTTTTTCAAGTGATCACTTAGAAGTTTCATTGAACTGGTGTTATGAAAGGATTTAAGTGGAACAAAACGTTTTACTTCTCAATTCCTAATGGCTTTTGAATATCACCGTTTTATGGGTTTTCGGATGCTTAAGGACCATTTGAAATTTTCTTGTTGATCACTCAAACAACTGTAAAACATCTCACTCACTTTTAAAATAGGACTTCATTTTAAAAACGGGCCATCATTTGAGTATTTACTCATGATTAATGTCTGTGTGACGCCACACCCCTTGTTATGACACGAGTAATTGCGATAAACATGGCCGCCCGAAAACGTGTGATGTCTGAACACCTATGACCCGGCAATTTTTTTATTTCTTAAGTTTACAAACTTGATGGAAGGAAAGAATTTTTGTGAACTTTCCTTTTACTCATTTTTGTAAAATTGTTTTGTAACAAATTTCATATAAAAACTTTCTTGAAACAATTGCAACATTTTGTAAGACTGGCATTTAGTTTCCTAATGACCGTGTCAGGTGAATGTTTTGCTTCCAGACACGTGTTCCCTGTTCCAGTGTTACAAACATCTTTACATTACTCTGGTAACAACTGAAGCCAATTGTAGGTTCCAGTACCCAGTACCCAGATACCATCAGTTAACATGAAGCTAAATGAGATGTGGTCTCTGTTATTGTTCAGGAACAGATTCCCACTTATTGTATAATAGAGAGATGTTACTTTGGTTGCATAGTAACTTGAACAGCCTTGATTGCCTTTCGGTGTCAATAACAAATCAACAAACTTGTTTTGACCATGTAGAAAAATACTCTCTGAAAAGTGTTTGCTTTGAAGTGAGTCCAGTTGAAAATGCATGTGCTTGTCCTAAAGGTGTATTTGTCTGGTGTTGTGCATGCTGAGGGTGAATAGACATCACCTGGACTTTGTCAGATTACTGCATGTTTTGTAGATTTATTGTATGTTCCTTGTACATATGTCATGAACTTTTGTAATAAACACTGAAATCAATCCAATGTTTTCATGGCGTGTACAGCCCGATATGGGCCTACACTGTTTGTTTGCGTTTTTGTTGTTTAACGCCGCACTCAGCAATGGCTGGTGAGTATGAACATGGAGTACTTAGGGGAAGACAACTTGGGGAAATACTAGGTTATCATGTCCCATCTTGTCCTTGGTGTTGGGTTATCATGCCCTCACTGAAGCCCGGCCCGTGAAGATCCGGGGTAGAATAGGTCTTCAGCAACACATTCTTGTCGTAAGAGGCGACTGTTTGTCGCAAGAGGCAACTAATGGGTTCAAGTGGCCAGGCTCACGGACTTGGTTGATGCATGTCATCGTATCCCAATTGTGTAGATGATCATGATGTCAATCACTGGATTTGACTCGTTTACTTACAGACTGCCATCATATAGCTCAATAATTGCTGAGTGCGATGTTAAAACAACAAACACTTATAGACAAAGACAACCGAGTTATATAAGGATATGTTTTATTTACAATATCAGTCTATTACCACTGGCATTTACATGGGACTTGTACAGATCTAACAAAATGATCGTGAAGGCACGGAATGTGAAAACATGACATGCTACATCGGTATGCAGTGATTATCGTGAATATGATACAATCGATGAAATAGAAACGTTGGTCCCACTACTGAAAAAGAAAGCCAAGGAATAGTGTACTTTATCATCCAAAACTGGCTCCCACAGGAGATATGGCTTGGGTGAGATCAAGCGATATCTACACTGTAGATATCGCTGCAATGAAATTGCATCACAATGCTTTGCAGACCATTGTGACGTCATTGGTTACCATGACGTCAAAATCAAATGACATCACTAATGGCTCTGCTACTGCAGCTGTTAGCAGTACTTTTTACACTTAAGACACTGCTTATTACTGTCTACAAACTGAAAAAGTTGGAAGAATGATGTTAGATGATAAATAAAATCTCACCCAAGTGTCTTTTGATATCAAATATATCAACACTCATTGATAAAAGTGGCAAAAATCCTCGGCAAGCCTCGGAATTTTTCCACTTTTATCAACTCGTGTTGATATATTTGATATCAAAAGACACTCGGGTGAGATTCTCTATTTACGCTTTGGTGAAACAACATGCATGATGAACATATCTAATTCAGTTATCCCCAAGTGGACATATGCATATCTGGAATGTGTTCGAAGTATTCACTTGTCTATAAATAACTCAGTGGCACCGCTCAGTAAAACACTTAGCGGTTCACTGCAACAGCAGCACTTAACAATACCTGTACATGCAATTGGTCTGATAGGGAGCATGACCTATTTAACCGGTAAATTACTTTCAATTACCGGAAAAAAGAAACAGTGTAACTGTGCCTTGGACAGTTAATACATCAAGGAAGCTTATCACAGATCTCATAAGACTTTTCTGAGGATGCTTCAGTCAACTTTCAAATCTTAGGGAAACCACTAAAAAGCTGTTAGTTACCATGGTTAGAAGAAATTATCTTCCAATAACACTCACAAATATCATGAATATTGCTTACTTAATTATTTTTAAGTTTTCAAAAAGAAAAGGTATACATTATAATGTGACACATCGTATGATAGAGGACAAATGTGGTATATGATAATGATAACGAAGATTATATCAACACATGGAAATAAAAAGCACTGTGTAAAACTTCATATTGGCTTACAAAAAACTATTACTAAATGTAAACATGGCAAATAAAATGTATTGATGAAATACATAAAATATAAAAGTTGTTAATGTACAATACTGTGTTTAACATTTTCGCTAATGAACATGATAAATATGCATGCAATTCTGTATTAAACTGCTGGAGGGGTATGCAAAATGTCATGACAATCTGGAGTTTGGCAAGGTCATTTAATGATTGAGAGGCTCCAATCTCAAGCTAGCCATACCAACTATAGGAAAGATACTTTCTGGTGATCAGTCATGTGAACATGTTGTCAATAAGAAAACTACACAATACATGTTGATAAAAAATAAAATAATACAAAGTATAATAATTAATTCTACCATGGGCCAGGTGTGGACCAAAGCATCTCCTTGTTTTAGACATGAATCTGTCAAATTTGGCAGAGTAAAATTATGCTGTGTTTGAATGAAGCTATATCGTTCGTGCCTAAACTTCAAGAGCATTTTAAGGATACTGACATTTTCTTACTTATTTGTTCCCTGCATCTTGGCCTTCTGACCAAAGAAAACAGTCCATAATCAGAGTTTTCAGGAAACATGTTTTAAGAATACTAAGCAAACAGGCAATTGACAATATTGAACATACTGATCCTTTTGCTTTTACATTTTGATTAAAAAATATATTGCAGTAACCATGGTAACACTCAATTCATGACTGACATTAAAACTACGAGAACTTTTAAGATGTACACATTTCCTTTGCTACATCCAGAAACACCTCAAATGTTCAAATTGTGACCAACTAACAGGTCGAAACAAGCTTTGTCTAGCCTTCCCACATTATCACTTGATATCACTGTAACCATTCTATTTGACCCCAAACTTAATCAAATAGATCCCCACAAGTCATGTTAAAATGAGCACCATTCAAATTCTTAATTTTATATTTGATAATTACTTCCAAGTATCTTAATAAAATTACTACAATCTTACACTGTCACAAGATTCCTGAAACTTTCTTCAGCCAATATCTACAGCAAAATATAAATTTCGTCAATATGTTGTCTTTGTCAATATATACACACTGTTCACGCTCCATCCAGCAATCACAGAGAGTAGCTTCCCCTTATGCCCATAGGACTGAGTGCGAAACCGATGGTGATGTATATGAGGACGGACGCCACTATCGTTATCATCCCCATCATGAAGGCGTACTGGGACCACTTGTTGGAGTACTTCAGGTCACCTTGTCCATAAGCTCGGATTGACATGTCTGAAAGAGAAACAGTTTAATGAACAAGGGTGAATAGGGAGTTAGGTTTGACACCACTTTGAACAGTATTCAAGATATATCGCAGCGTCAGCTTACAGCGGGAAGAAAGCCCGAAATGATCCAGGTCTCACATGTTTACCACTTTCGTTTTGTTTGTTTATTTGTTGTTTAACGTCTCACTCTGCTTTATTCCAGCTATATGACTGCAGTCTGTGAATAATCGAATCTGGACCAGACAATCCAGTGATTGACATCATGAGCATTGATCCACGCAATTGGGATACAATTACATGCATCAACCAAGTCAGTGAGTCTGACCACCTGATCCCGTTAGTCGCCTCTCAAGACAAACATAGTTGCCTTTTACGGCAAGCATGGGTTGCTGAAGACCTATTCTATGTAATGACTATGAGGTTGATTTCCATTGAACATGTTGAACACAACAATCTAATACCAGGATTATTGTGAACTTCTCTCCCTAGTTATGTCAGGTCAGCTGGAACTTTAGTGTAAACACTATCTAAAAAGGCCAAATCATGTCTACCATGTTTCATTGGCATGCCAAGATACATTCATAGGCAAAAAACTGTCATGATTAACTTCTGAAATATAAACAAAATGATGTTCAAAACATAAAAAATTCTAATCCAAACAGTTTGTCTTTTCAAAATCAAGGCCAATTTTTACACTAAAACAACGGCCTGGCCCAAGTAGCCCCGCGATGGTGGTGATACTTACATGCAAAGAAGATGGCGAAGGGCCCAATGAGGGGGTTGAGGATGGTCACAACCACGGCAAGCGGCATGTAGGAGTGGGGCTTAGGGCCGATGAAGTGACCCTGATAGATTGCTGGGTGGGAGAAGACCGGGTCACGGGTCACAAGCACCTGCTTCGATGTCGTGCGGTAGATCTCCGCATTGTCTCCGGGCGTTGGGGTAGTCATGCTGAAATGTGTGATTGACTTATTTAGAAGAGTGAGTTCTGTGCAACTGGAATGACGGATATTTTTATGCTAATATAGGTGAGGTGAAATAGGGTTTGACATTGTGTTAAAGATTGTTGCACTTACATAGCGACGTGCATACATGTCTGTGCTTGCTTGTACTAGTCTGTTTTAATGCCGATTTTATAGTGCTAGCCCAATGAGATACCATGCCGCAGTTTAACATGAATACCCCACTCAGACACAGTATACTGAGTCCGAGCTGACCAGTCCTTGTTTTAGTCCCTTAATAATGCCAAGCGCCAGACAGGATAACAACAAGTACCATCGTGTATCCTCTTTTGGTATGACGCAGCCGGGGATCGAACCCCGACCCTTGGCTCTTGGGGCTGATGCTCTACAAGTACCACTAGACCATGGAGGCGGTCAGTTGTAGCTATAACAAAGTGAGTCTGTGTGATGTGGGAGGAAAGCAGATGAATGGTGGAACTCCATACCACTGTTGGGAAAACATTCATTTTGTTCAGCTAATGTTATGGTTTTGTAGAGATGAATTTTCACTGGAGACAGGACCAGTAATAAGGCATTTATGTCTCATTTTCTAAATTATTGCCTGGAATTTGTGTCGCAATATTTCCTGATACATATTGCAATATATTGCCATTGAAAGACAGATTTGTTTTCTTCTACTTTCATACTCCCCTTTATTTCTAGAAGACTAAAATCCATGTAGCATCACAAGTAGGCGCTGCATTTGTAACCATGGTGATGCTTACTCTAGGGTTGGAGTGGTGGGTAATAATGGCATACTTGAAATAGTATTTCTCTGAGATTAGCTGTATCAAGATTATTCTAATTCATTCATTATAGACAAATCACAAAGAAATACACTCATTTATTTCCTCATACTGACACATTTAGACCGCATCACAATATGTTTTGTCGAAGATTGGTATGACAGTTTTCAGGAGTGCTGAAACACCATGCAGCCCAAGATGTGGTAACCTGCCTGGCTTCCTGCGCCTGTATTGCACCTGCCCAGCCCTCACCAACGTGATTGTGTGCAACAAGTTATCTATCCATAAGGGAGGTGAACCCTGTCCCTGGGAGGGGTTTGTTTGCAAACATCATTTCAGAGTAGGTTTGCCTATATTTCTTGACTTCCAAGCACTTGTGCCAAAACCTTTTCAAAGGAGGTGAGACTGTCAACACCTAGGCTGACTAGACACTCACTGTTTGCTGTTTAACACCGCACTCAGCAATATTCCAGCTATATGATGGCGGTCTGTAAATAATCGAGTCTGGAATAGGCAATCCACTGACTGACATCATGAGCATCGATCCAGGCAAGTGGGATTGATGACATAATATAATTGGTAAGAGTTGAAGTCAGGAAATGGACAACTGTTACTTCACATACTTCAAGCTAGACTAACATCTAGTCTCTGAAATGAACATATTTTGCAGAAAAATATAATAAAAAGGAGCCCAGAGACTTTGGTCATTTTTAGATACTGCAGTAATCTACAATGATCTAGACTTGCCAAACATTATAGACTTGCATGGGTTGTATTGGATATATTTGTTTCAGGGTCTGTATGACCAGATGACAGACTACGTTCAAGCTTAATCACTCTTGTACCAATAAATGCATCCTCGTCATGTTCGTGATCTTGCTTACTCTAGCAAAAATGGATATTTTCTGGGTAAGAATCCCTTTTGTTCTCACAACCTGGTTTTTTTAATCATATTACCTATGTACACAACAGGTGTTTAATGAAGGGGAGGCAGGTTGGGGCACTATAGGAATTCTTTCCACTATGCAAGTGAGGTCATTCATAGACTCGGTTTAAAGACGAGGTCTTGACAATAAAAATAATAATCTGATTATACATTCTGAACCTGTTGATCAAAAAACACACCAAACATTAAAGTATAATGGGTACACCCAAGACAAACTTACCACAACGTTACACTGTAAGTTTGGGCATCGAAAAGGGTGTCATATTGGTTTGTTTTCATTTCCAACTTGTCTACTACTAAACACGCTGATGCTAATCTTCAACATGGAAGAAGCGATTGTATTATGAATTACCAAGATCTAGTATAAACAAATACTATTTCGTCAGAATTGTTATCATCAAGAGAACCGGTTACACTGCAAGCGAATTATATTGATACAGGGAGATCCGCTTCGCAAATAATACGACATGGCGAACACTGATTATCAAAACACACAAATAGGTCACCTGGGCCAGGTGTAATATAAAGTAAATACAGGTAGATCGTCTTAAACATTAGTACTTACTTACCTTGCTTAAAGATTGTGTAACGTATGGAAAAGTTGTGTCTGTCGTTACAGTTCAAAGAAGCCCCACCTCAGACGGGAATTCCTTTCCGCAACACTTCAAACATGCAGGTAAATCAACAACCGCGCATGCGCACAGGTGTGCACAGGTGAGTCACGGATGTTTCGGAACTCGCGACAGCACTGCGTGTATCTGTTAATGGATTTAGTGGGCAGTCGAATGTGTCAACCGTCGATGTAAAGAGTAGAGGCTTACGTCAATACGATCCTGGATAAGAAGCGTATCTTGTTAATTATACTTGGCATTTGGTTTTGGTTCAAAGCTGTAATGATCACATGAGAAAAAGCAGCGTTAATTGACATTGTATACTTAAAGTAAAGAAACGCCAATTATAATATACACAATACAATGTTCCCGGTACAAATTTTACAATTTTTTACAAATTTCGAATTTAAAAACAACAACATCTGGCTATATCTTCCAAATAATTTTAATTTTAAACTTTTTTTTCTTCTACGAATAATAAATAATGATAATAAAGACAAATTTATGTTCATATGTTATGATGATTATGTGTATAGTTTAATCTACAACCACCCAATTCATATCAGGGGCACCAGCAATTTCACGCATATTAAAACCAAATATGCAGCCAACTAAAACCGCACCCACTTTTGTCCTGTGCCCTCAGACAGCCCGGGGTTGGGGCAGCAGGCTGTTGATAAGAAAACTTCAGCGCACCTGTTAAGTGGACGTTATGCAATAAGGTGTTTATGTCTTGGGGCTATTCCACGTGGTTAGACCCCAAGACGCAAGACGCACACAACAAACAATGAACGTAGCTGTAGTATTTGCCCGAAGCTATTTTGTTTGGTGGGGAGTGTCCTGCGAATGCACATTGTAATGTCAGTTAAGGTGACCGCGCTATAAGGCCCTCTGAAGGTTCTGTTGCCTTCCTCAGTCTGTTTCGCTCCAAAGGAGAACGATGACTTGCAAAATTACTCAAAATCGGGAATAGTCTATTAAATGTTAATATGGTACTCGGCAATGAATTCCCTGTACCCAACAATATCTGCTGTTTGTTATTTATATTCCCATCGATACAAAAATTGTTTACCAAACTATCGGGGCGGTCGGGTAGCCTAGTGGTTAAAGCGTTCGATCGTCACGCCGAAGACCCGGGTTCGATTCCCGACATGGGTACAATGTGTGAAGCCCATTTCTGGTGTCCCCCGCCGTGATATTGCTGGAATATTGCTAAAAGCGGCGTAAAACCATACTCACTCACTTACCAAACTATCATATTGTTATGTGTACATGTTGATATCTTGAACGGAGGGGGTTTACACGGCTCTTATATTTCCTGTTAAGACGCCTGAAACGAGTAATTGCGGGTCCCCTGGAGCCCTAGTGTGTATGTCAACGTAAGAACTTTGTTGACAAAAAATTACCAGAGCAGACATTCCCAAAATATACTGAAACGCACAAGAGGTAAAAAGTGAAATTGACGCCATACCAAATTTGATATGGTGTTGGCTGATACTACAATCACACTCAGATAACTTAGTTCCACGTTGGTAATGACAAGTGTCATTGGAAAGTACACAGTTTTAATGTAGAGGAAATGGAACCCAAAGACAACAGTACCGGGTATGACTGTCCCTGGTTGCAATGCATGCCACACAGCGCCTTCTCATGGACAGTGTCAGTCTCGATAACAGCTTGTGGTCCTACGCCACTCACGTTGCAGGACAAGTGCGAGCTCTCTAACGTTGGCGATTTGAGCTTGACGTGCCATGTGCCGTCCCATGGGCTCCATGAGCGATAGATCGGGAGATAATGCTTTGTTTGTTTGTTTACTGTTTAACGCCTCACTCAGCAATATTCCAGCTATATGACGGCGGTTTGTAAATAATCGAGTCTGGACCAGACAATCCAGTGATTGACATCATGAGCATCGATCCACGCAATTGGGATACAATTACATGCATCAACCATGTCAGTGAGTCTGACCACCTGATCCCGTTAGTCGCCTCTCAAGACAAACATAGTTGCCTTTACGGCAAGCATGGGTTGCTGAAGACCTATTCTATGAAATGACTATGAGGTTGATTTCCATTGAACATGTTGAACACAACAATCTAATACCAGGACCATGTGAACTTCTCTCCCTAGTTATATCAGGTCAGCTGGAACTTATAGTGATAGTAGTGTAAACACTATCTAAAAAGGCCAAATCATGTCTACCATGTTTCATTGGCATGCCAAGATACATTCATAGGCAAATAACTGTCAGGATTAACTGCTGAAAGATAAACAAAATGAGGTTCAAAACATCATATCGCACCAAACCATTACACTTCCGCCGCCCCATCGATCATCAGTCCGCAGAAAACGATGTTCGTGACAGCGTTCATCACGGCGACGCCATACCCGTCTACGTCCGTCTTCGTTCCTGAGGTGAAATCTGGACTCGCCAGAGAAGAGAACGCCATGCAGGCGTCGAAGTAACCATTGTCTGTGCCGTGTAGACGTGTCCGCTGGTTCTTCACAGTCTAACAGCGATCCACAGACTACGACGAACTCCCTGTCAACAAATACGTCAACTGCAGTTCGTTGGAGCACTTCTCGACACCGATCTCGGTAAGATGTTCGTCCCTCCCGACAGATGGATAAAGATACAACGACTTGTACCATTAACACTCAGACACTCGCTACATCTACGACAAAGGCAACAGTTGCTTGGTCTAATGACGTCGGCACAAGCCCTCACCCAGAGAGGTCGACTACAACTACGGCTAATTCAGCGCATCCTAACACTGTGTCTTTATAAGGAAGATTCCTTACATGTACACATATATGCTCACTCCCTCATGGCATTCATTCACCTGATGATGGAGTAAGCATATACTCCGAAACGTTGTGTTCATCATAATAAAGAAGTTGACATCCATATATTCTCTTCCTTATGTGAATCACTTCTAAATGCCTTTCAAAGAACTGTATCTTCAGATCGACGATTGTCGGTCCCGATTTAGCCCCCATTGCCCCTGTACGGCCATCTACAATGGCGGTTATCAAAAACGAACGTCTGATCAGGAGTTCCCCCGGAAGCCTTCCTACCGACACACAACTTGTTCGTGGATGAGTCGACAGTGGGTTGGGGAGCTCACCTGCAGTATCAACAGACTTCAGGACGTTGGTCAGCAATAGAATCGACCCTTCATATCAACAATCTCAACAATCTCGAATTCAAGGCGGTCAATCTAGCGATCTCTCATTGGGTACTTCGATCATCTTACCTGATGATTCAGTCCGACAACGCCTCAGTCGTATTGTATATCAACAAGATGGGTTCGACCCAGTCAACTTCCCTGTTGGCTCTGACGATGGACTTTTATCAACTGCATTGGGAATCAACGCCCGAGCTCGACACATTCCGGGAATACGCACTGTCATAGCAGACTCCCTGTCCCGCCCGGATCGACCATCCTCGTCTACACCAAAATACCTTCGAGGAGATTTGGCACCTCTACCGCCGCCCAGAGGTCGACTTGTTCACCACCAGGTTCAACACACATCCCCCCAGATTCCTCACTCCATGTCCGGATCCAGAGGCGTGGGAGTGCGACGCTCTGGCCATATCATGGGAGAATCTCAACATCTACGGGTTTTCACCAACAACTCTTCTACCACGGCATCGACAAAACAGTTACAACTGATTCTAATCGCGCCTTACTAACCAGCTTGCCGCTGGTTCACCGTGTTGGTAGACCACGCAAGGGGAAACTATTATCCACATCCCCTTGCGAAGAGATCTTCTCCATCAACCTCACTGAGGCTCATCGATGGTGTTCGCTACTCACCTTGAGTACCCTTCAGCGGCTAAGGACTTCAGTAAGTGAGCCAGGCGATAGATGTAGGGTGTCCAGCGATGGATGGAGTGAGGTTGATGGAGAAGATCTCTTCGCAAGGGGATGTGGATAATAGTTTCCCCTTGCGTGGTCTACCCACACGGTGAACCAGCCGCAAGCTGGTTAGTAAGGCGCGATTAGAATCAGTTGTAACTGTTTTGTCGATGCCGTGGTAGAAGCTTTGTTGGTGAAAACCCGTAGATGTTGAGATTCTCCCATGATATGGCCAGAGCGTCGCACTCCCACGCCTCTGGATCCGGACATGGAGTGAGGAATCTGGGGGGATGTGTGTTGAACCTGGTGGTGAACAAGTCGACCTCTGGGTGGCGGTAGAGGTGCCAAATCTCCTCGAAGGTATTTTGGTGTAGACGAGGATGGTCGATCCGGGCGGGACAGGGAGTCTGCTATGACAGTGCGTATTCCCAGAATGTGTCGAGCTCGGGCGTTGATTCCCAATGCAGTTGATAAAAGTCCATCGTCAGAGCCAACAGGGAAGTTGACTGGGTCGAACCCATCTTGTTGATATACAATACGACTGAGGCGTTGTCGGACTGTATCATCAGGTAAGATGATCGTAGTACCCAATGAGAGATCGCTAGATTGACCGCCTTGAATTCGAGATTGTTGAGATTGTTGATATGAAGGGTCGATTCTATTGCTGACCAACGTCCTAAAGTTTGTTGATACTGCAGGTGAGCTCCCCAACCCCACTGTCGACTCATCCACGAACAAGTTGTGTGTCGGTAGGCCGGCTTCCGGGGGACCTCCTGAGCAGACGTTCGTTTTGGATAACCGCCATTGTAGATGGCCGTACAGGGGCAATGGGGGCTAAATCGGGACCGACAATCGTCTATCTGAAGATACAGTTCTTTGAAAGGCATTTAGAAGTGATTCACATAAGGAAGAGAATATATGGATGTCAACTTCTTTATTATGATGAACACAACGTTTCGGAGTATATGCTTACTCCATCATCAGGTGAATGAATGCCATGAGGGAGTGAGCATATATGTGTACATGTAAGGAATCTTCCTTATAAAGACACAGTGTTAGGATGCGCTGAATTAGCCGTAGTTGTAGTCGACCTCTCTGGGGGAGGGCTTGTGCCGACGTCATTAGACCAAGCAACTGCTGCCTTTGTCGTAGATGTAGCGAGTGTCTGAGTGTTACCAAGAGATGTGTCATTGACTAAAATCTGCTTTGTTTATTTGATTTCAAGTGATAGCCTTCACCTGGAAGGAATTTT